TGTGATTTGTCTGAAACCTTTCTCGCGCTGCCAATCTTGAAGAACAAATCGCACCTTTCTCTGCTGCACTGATGACAGCACTGTAGCTCACCAGATCCGGGATGAGCTTGCCCTTTTGCAAAGACAGCAAGAGCTCGATGGCCACATCCCATCGGTCGCTCTTCTCCTGGGTGGAGCTGAACTAAATGGACACCACGACAAGAAAAGCACTCCAGGAAACAAGAATACAGTAACAATCATTACCAGCACCACTCAGTTTAGAAGAAAGTATAAGTATCCCTATAGAATAGATTTCTATCTGTCATTCTGAATGGGCACATACTCGGGCCTCCCTCCACCGACCTCGACCACCCCGCCGGAGCCATATACACTCTCTTCTACCTCAGGAGGTAGAAAAATGAGACCTGGCCTGAAAAAGGATGCTGGCAAGGAGACGAATCACCTAGCTTGATCTTGTGTATCCAATCCACGTTCATGTATAATTACCTAGCTGGACCTAAAATATATTAAACTATCAATGATTCTGCTTGGATTGCATCCTATTCCATCCATCCAACAGGTGTCAGAATGGAATCCACCAGGAGGGCTTCATCTGTGATGGAGTCCAGGGGTTCCTCTCCTAGCAGCTTCTTGTTCCTAGTAGCGATGCCAGGAGCCCCGTTCGTAGCATCCTTGTTCCTAGTAGCGATGCCAGGAGCCCCGTTCGTAGCGAACCTTGTTACTAGCATGCTTTGTCCTTCAAGCCATCTTTCTGTCACCGCAGGGCCGAACCCTGAGGTCCGTCAGTTCCCGTGCCACGTCTCATGGTACCCTTCCGAGTCTCACACGCACTGATCGCGCTGTTGTAGCTCACCACATCCGCCCAGCGTTGTAATTGAAGATCACCCAAAAGGCTCACCTGGCGGACCGGTACTCGCGTCAATGGACCGGTCAACCATTGTAAGGCACATAAAGCCCCGTATATCTGGGTGTGTTTCACATCTCCCATGTAAAACCAGTGTGACATCCCCTTGTCTGCAACTGAGTCGTACACCGGTTGATCTTTACCGTCAAAACTCGTGGCATCTGCCAAATATACACGTAGACCGTCTTCGCACCTGTTACTGCTAGTTGTGTGCCTGAATTCAACAACACCCAAATAGTATATTTTAGAAGTGGCCGGTTCAAACTTATTTTGGTGGTTCAAACATGTTCAAACCATCCCCAAAAATGACCATTCACAAATAGGCCAAGCATTGAATAAATAAGAATAAGAACATCCAAACATTCCAACACCAAGTTCAGTTCAGTTGCAGCCTGCAGCCATCGTCCCGCTTTTTCACAGGCACTGATGGAACTGTTGTAGCTGACATGGTTTGGGCGCACAGAAACCTGGCCAACTGAGTCATCTCCGGCTGTTGAAAGAAATCGAGCCCCCAGCCCTGAACCAAGCATGAATTATGGAAGCACAAAGAAATACTTGCCAATGACAACCAACCGACCAGCACAAAAACAAACATCAATCAACAAACTAGTATAAATAAGTATCTTGCTTTGATTTGGTCATTTCGTCAGATTTCGTCCACGCATCTCGTGTTCCGGGTGTCAGCTGGTCGTTTGCCACCAATGGACCAACCAACCGCACCTCGTGGGAGAGGTGAAGCAAACAGACCGCCGAGGACCAACGATGATCCCTTTCGCAAGCGGCAATAGCGCTACTGAGGGCGATCCTCAGGTGTGCGAGGGGGGTCGAAAACGGGTGGTCAGCAACGTGTAGATGCACAGTGAAGACTTGGAGTTTGCACAAATGGATGAACAATGAACAAGCAATAGACAGTGACTCTACAACAAAAAGATACAAAAAGAATCCAAATCCGATATAGTGCGTGAACTCACCTTGAGCTCACCTTAAACTATATAGCGCTTCAACGAACAGTCTTTGTGTCCGCTCCCAGACGTTCCCAAACGCGGCCCACACGGTCACCACGTGACGGGCCGCGTCACCACGTGACTCGCGGAGTTCACCGGTGGTTTCAGCGAGTTCACCAGGGACCACGGCCATCCTTCGATGCGTCCACTTCCTTTGGACCCCGTTCCGGAGCGAGCGAGAGAGCGGAGGGCGGCGCGAGCGAGCGCTCCGCTCACGCGCACGGTCGAGAGACCAGACCGAGGCTCAAATCCCGTTCGAGGCGCAGCAAACGGAGCGTCCGGAGGATTCCAAGGCCATGCTGCCAGGTGGAAGAAGTCAAAACACCACCTGAGATGTGCAGGACCACCTGAGGACCTGCATTAAAAGGCATGTTTAAAATCATGTGCAGCGTGCAGTTGAATCGCAACTGAAAGCATTGGATGTGTGTGAGTGCGTGAAATCGACCCTAGATGCTTACCCCAAAGAAGACCTGGCAGGTGAACCTTCACCTTTTTTGTCTGCCACTTTTGACAAACAGTGTCCTTTTCCTGCTGTCCCATGCGTTTTTGACCACGTTTCCTGCTGAGTTCATCCCGAGAAGCTCCATGTCACCACATCCGGCAGTGTGCGGTGCTGCCCCATGTGAGAGGCCAGGTGTAGAGCCTTGGCCCAAGTGGAAGTGGCTGACGTAGCAGAGATGGCCACAATGGCACTGTTGAAACCTCGGATCGATCGGCGACCGACTCCCAACTCGGTGAAGATGTTTCGTGTTCGGCTTGGCAAAGGGCAGGATGCCCGATGTTCGCAGGTCAGGTTGCTTCCCTCCATCAACGCGTGGGCTGCCCTTCTCGTGTGACCCATGTCCCACTTTCTTGCTCTGAAAAGTACGATACAAAAAGGGCGCGGTGCTTCTTGAGTCAGGAACCGTCAAAACATATACTCGTTATGTACTCGTTATGCTCCATAGAACAAATTAGAAAAAGGGAACCAGCCAATGGGTAGTTGTTTGTTCCGCTGAACCCTCTTTTTTCCGTCGTGTGGCTGATTTCATCAGGAAGCAGCTGGTCACCGTGGAAAAGCTTCTGCAAAGCATGGGACCAGTGACTTCGGCAGGCGCTTATGGCTGTATTCCAAAGGATCAGGTTCCTGGGTGTCCACGGATGGGCACTTGCATTGTGATTGTTCACCAACAAAAACACATTAAATTAAAATTACTTAAAGTTATACATACGTAAAAAGACATAGCTTAGTGGAGGTCTTCATTTTGCAAACCGCTCTGCACGTGTCAATGACATCCAGCAGCCAACACCAAAACTACCATTGGGCACTCCTAGCTTCAGCTTCAAGTCTCTTGTTGCCAAATCCGTCAGAAGGCTAAGCACGAATCCCCAATGGCTCTGCCGCGCCAGCTCTTTTGCCTTCTTACCGTAGAGCTTGATGTCGTCTTGATCTTGCGCACGAGACAAAGCGCAAGATCGCTCCATTCCAAACCAGCATCACTCTCAGCATCTCTGCCGGCACATCTCTCTGAACCTCAATCCAATGTGGGGATTGATCTTGACTCCGACGCGCAACGCACACATAAAAACAAACACCCTTTGAACTATATATATTAGAATATCATTTGTATAATCTGATAGGATATCTAGAACTTCACTTTGCTTGCCATATATTCGATATGAGATATATCCCTCTCAAGACCCTGGGGCTCAAATCCCAAGTTGCAAAAAGCTTGAGCCGTTGATGTCCTCAGGTCATGCTTGTGTCCTCATTTCGCCCAGGAACACAAGACACGCCTCTCACACGCCCACTTTGGCGCCATGGTCCACACGTTCGAAGCGACTTCGGCACGAACGATTCCTTGAGACCAAACCCGATCCGGCAAGGCATTCTAGGAATGCAACGATGACTAGTGCGGTCCAACTGGGGCGACAAAGAATTCCGCCTCAGAAATCAAACTAACAAGCAAACAACTAACAACCTTAAGCATTCAAAGCCCGTCTGTGAGATAGGGGAGTTCTACCTCAGAAATCGTTCAACCAAACACGCTGAGATGAGACCGAGTCAGAAGGTGCATTGTCTCCCCAAAAAGACGAGACTAGTGTTCAGTAGGTCAGTCTGTTCCTTCCGGTTGGGGTTGAACCCCTCGGTGGGTGCAAAGTGCGTTATCTCTGAGCTTCAGACTGTCCCATTCAACGCAGGTGGCTGCCAGCCTGGGTGAGTGTATTGGCCATAGGCAGTGTCCTAACACAGCACACACGCGACTGAAACATCCAACGCTTGGGGCCCGCCCAACTCATCGGTGAGGAGAGGATAACATCACTTCCACCCAACTTGGAGAACCACCTCTGCTGTTGCGATTTCTCCCTTTCCTTCAGTGTCCGGAGACCCAGGGTTGGCACCTGGTTCACGAGAAGCACTCAGGCGCCTGCAGCGGCATGGTCAGGATGCTTCGGTGAAAATGTTTCGATTCACTCTCCTAGGAAAACGAACATGGGAGTGGGTGGTTGTTTGTAAAGGAAAATGGTCCAAAAGGCCTTGCCATCCACTTCCATGATTAGTTCAGGGAGTGTAGCAGCCAAACATCTCAAGGGCCATTATATAGCCATCATTATATACTATATAACTATATACCGATACATATATATATATATACACGTATATTTGTGTGGCAGGGCCTCCCTAATGAGTCCCCAATCGCTGGGCAAATCGATGCCTTTAAAAACCTGATCTAAGAAGACTCTTGGAGCGTGACTGCAAACTCAGCAGCGGGTTTTGAGGATGTGTTCTTCGGGGGGGCTCCTTTCATATTCCATTTACAAACCAACAAACAATTGCTCTTCCCCCCACATGGTCTTTGAAGATGAAGATCCAGGGTGCCCAGTTTATCCACCCCGAACCAGCCTTAAAACGGAAAGACATGGACATGAAGACTCATCAGTTCTCTCTTCCAACATTCCACCAGCTCATGTCATCGACATGAAATTTCTGAAATGCATCCGTCCCAATCAACATTCAGTTCCTCCACTTCACCACTTGGAGGCTCGGCTCAGCCAGCCAGGCGGGTCCTTTTTGGGCAGCGCACCCGGCAGTTTCATCGGTCTCTGACAGCTCACATGGACTGACTGATGGTCATGTTTCGCACCAAGGGCTTCCTGAGCGATTCTCGCAGGGGAAGCTGTATCTGTAAGTCTGTAAATGTCAGTTTTGGTTTCCCACCACCGGAGAAAATCATTTCACTAATGGTAGATATATACAATTATATGTATGTGTATATATATATATATATGAATCTACACATGTGCTAGCGAATCCTCAACATTGGACCCATTTGTGGAAGCAGTTTTGACTGGCAGGTGTACGCCAGGCACCGGCACCTTTCTTGACATGGAAACGCCTCTGACGGCATTTCTTCCGGTGAGTCCTGACGCACCGTGAACCGTCCGTGTGCTCCAGAGACAGAAATGAACGAGTCCTTGTGCTCCAGAGGAGACTCCAAGAGACTACAGTGTCGAAGTCAAGGGATAAACTGAGACGGAAAGATGCTGAACATGCCGACGGAAGAAACCGTGAACATTGCATACTGTAGTCAATTATATAGTCTGTGGAGTTTTCCTGTGGGAAAACCGGGTTGTGAAGGGATCCACTCAGATCCATGATAGCATTTGTGCTCTGGGGGGGCCCTGGGGGGGGTGACGGAAATCAAAATCAATAAACATCACGAAACCTCAACTCTCTTCGCACAGCGATGCTGATGGTTGCTAACTGTCTGGCCGTTGGCCTTCAGCAAGCTGACTTTGGCGAAAACAACAGCTTGGATCTCTTTGTGGGAAGAAGCCGTATAATTATGTAGTTATAGGCTTGGCTCTTGTTTTGGGGGTCTAGAACTGTCACCTCCAGCCACCAACTGTCCTTGCTTGAGCATCTTAGAGGTTCTGAACCGGCTCCCGAAAGATGTAAACTCACTAAACCGTTCTACCCAGTGATGCACACATGTAGACTCTTGATTCATCAAACCACCCAAACATGGCTCGTAAAGCCTCTTCATCATGGAGGCTTGAAATATGTTAAAATATCATCAAGAGTCTACCATCCCCAACACATGGCCACAGCCCCAAAACACCGCCAGGCATCTTCGTAAGGCGATGTAAGGACTCCAGTCCCGCCAAGGTCCTAGAAGCAACAGCAACCGAGTCCAAGGCATCAAGAGACCAGTGCTTTTGTTGACCCTCCAACAAATCAGCCATGCTTTGCCCATTCATTTCCACCAGGCTCCTCGCAAACCAATTCCTGGCACGTCTAGGGATTCCAAGGGTTCCCCATCTTTCCGCACTCCGGCCGTGCGGAGCTAAGGTGCGGGTCCATCGCTCCTTCCGTTCTCTGAGATGAGCGATTCGGAGGGGAGGATGATCTCGTTGCCTCCCGCAGCGATTCGGAGGGAGCGTCTGCCCAGGCGGTCGCGACAAGGACGGCCGAAGGGTCTGTGGGGAACTTGTGGGACATTCCGAAATGCACCGAGGAGTAGAGATCTCAATAGCGAAAAGTAGAGTTTTCAAGTGCAAAAGAAGCAAAAACAAGTGACAAGAAGTCTATAGCCGAAAGCAAAAGAAAAGGATAAGAACTTAGAGAGAAGTACAGAACATTGAAACCGCCCCTATAGATGTCGCCGGATGCATGGACATATCCCCACCCTCTCCACGCCACAAACCACACCACGTAGATTGAGTAGATCACCACACATCACATCATCACACGCCACTTCTTCCCAAGGCTCAAAGCGGGGAACCCGTCCAAAAGGCTCTGCCACCAGGCTTTGTTCACCCAATACACGTCATCTCATCCTGCTCCTGGCATGGGGATCCTTCCAAGTGTCCAATGGGTTTGCTGGAAATCTGATCTAGCCCATCCGACCCCAGTAATTAACAAGGTTCGCTACGTTCGGAGCAAGGGCATCGCTACGAACGGAGCAAGAAGCTATTCGTATAACTCCTGGCCATACTACTATATCCACTAGGAAGCTACTAGGAAGCTACGACCGGAGCATACTACTAAGAAGCTACGACCGGAGCCACTTCCTTTCGCACCCTCCGACACCTCTCTGCCCCTCTCTGCCCCGTCACGTCGTGCGGGGGGACGAAGCCGCAGGGCGCCGCAGGGCGCCGCCTTCGCAGCGGCCACATTCTTGGTGGTCCCGTTTGGTGAAGCCCATGCTCACCTCCTGCCGTTTGGAAGCCCTTGGGGTCAGCATCGAAAGTTCGCGAAAAGAGGGCATGGGTTTGGGAAGGGCGCTGGAGGTTGGTTTGCACAGGACGCTTTTTTGGGGGGTGCTTTTTGAAAGACTGCATGCAATAGAAACACAGCGCAGGGTCAGGATGTTCGACTGTTGATTTCACTATTATTAACTATATACAATGTTAAAGTCGTCCAGCAACTTGCCAGCAACCTTGTCTATTTCTTGGCTGATTGCCGCATGAGCGTCCCCCAAGCCTGCGAGAACTGTATTCACATGTTGGGGCAACCCCTGTGCTGAACCTATAGAAACAAGAAATGCTCAACATTCCTATCGGCTATTAAGTATAACTTTATCAAGCTGAGCAACGCCTGCAAATAGATTGAACGACCTATATACTCATTCGTACCTTGCATCCTGACGAAGAGTAGACGTCAACAACTCAACCAGGCATATACCGCACGTGGACGCCAACAACTCGACTGTAAAGTACACGTTTTCTAAAACACATCTCCACATCAAAAGGACCAGTTTTGCGAGGTCCTGCTCTAAATGAGGCATTTGACTTGGAGGGGCACGGGGCCGACCAAAAAAACATCGGTCACGGATGCTCACGGTCACACCAGTATGCTCGCTCACCGTCCACCCTGCCTCCTCAGGCCCGGTGCCCCGGTTGTAGTGAGCGATGTACTCGTAAAAGAGCGGCGTCCCCAAGATCCAAACCTGAGCGAAAGCCCGAGGCCGCGTCGGGCCGAGCGTTGGGTTGGGCGGATGGTGGAGGACCGCGAGGACCTAGGGACCGACGGATTAAAAGGGCAACCCAAGTGGCACAAGAAATTCGACCAAAAATCAAGCCTATTCAGGTAGGGATGGCATCTCCATTCCTTCGTCCAAGTCTGAGAACATGTGAGAACTCACGCCAACCCTGCGCCCGCGACGGAAAAACCATGGAACACAAAGCAAAGGGGGTCATAATGGCATTGAGTGTGAAACCAGGTTAAGTTCAGGTTCAAGAGGCTGCAGATGGCTGCAGCCACCGCACGAAAGCGTCCGATTGTGATCCGAGGTGCCCAAGCGGCATTTCTGCTTGGTTCCCAGATTGGGCGTTTGAGTCATCTGGGTGTGGGTCAAATCCCTGAACACTCTGGTTCACCCCAGGGGTTAAAAAAACCTCTATAAGGGATGTCAACCGAAACCATGGTTTGTAGGGTTTTGCGCTCGCGGACATTGTCAAGTCCTCTCCGGCCCCCTACCGCCCTTTGGTCTATGACCGGTTCAATCTTGATGCTACGGCCCCTACCCACAGCCCTAATTGGCCGCACGGCCCGTCGAGAAGCATCACCGTTTTGCTCGGTCTTGTACTCAATCGGGCTGAAACCCATCATGCAAACCTGCGAGGAATCGGGAACAAAAGTCCGAGCTGCTTGGGGTCACACGCTCACCAAGCAAGAAACTGACAAGTTACCTTACTTCGAGTGATCCCCTGGCATTCTATCTGTCAATATTTTGGCATTTTTTCTGGCATATCTATCTCCTGACGCATGGCCTCTAATTCTGAGCCACCGTTCGACTCGTTCGACCGCCTGTGAATAAAAATATCTGGCATATCTTCTGACTGGTGCTCTATCTGGCATATTTTCTTGCATATTCTCTGGCATATCCTTCGGTGGAGACGGGAGGTTCTCCGAGCTGCATCCTCTGTTGAAAGTGTCACAACTGCAGTGAACCTTCAACCTGCTGGGGTTCGGCATTTGTTTTGCCAGGAATTGTGGTTCTTTTGAAAGTACACGATTGCGAACATATTTTGTTTTTGTTCGCGCAAGTTGACTTTGCATGCAATGTTTTTTGTTTCCCAAAAACCCGATCTGAGTGAAACTGCCTGAGGAGCAGGTTTCCAGGTTTGAGACATTGTCCTACGAACCTGCCAAAAGTGTGAAAAGCCATGGGTTTCGCCATGCAAACGACTGACCATCATTTCGTACTGTAAAGACCAATACATTATGAACATGATTGAAAAGGCACACCTTGATAGTCAGCCACTTTTGCTTGTTTTCGAAGTGTTGATGTGCCTTCAGAAGGTGTTGATGTCTCTTTAGCGGCTTTAGGTTGAGGTCTCACTACGGCTTCAGCAACATGGCTTGCTAGAGGCAACTCACGCATTTGCAACAAACGTCGAGAAAGAACAAACGCAGAAGCCAACAATGTTTGTGAGAGTTGCTTTCCGGCAGTGTGTCTCAACCATGCATCAGCCAACAAACACGAGTGAGCAGCAACCTCGGAAAGATCGAACCAATGACGATCAGGAATCAAAGCACAAGAACGAACAAAGGAAACGATGTCGTCAGCCGCAGAGTAAGTGGAAAGGATATCCAGCCACTGGTCCAAAGTGAAAGGATTGATTCGAAACAAATGTTTGATACGAACACAAGTCAAAGGAAGACCGCAGCCAGCTATGCGAAGCAACATGAAGCAACAAAACGTAAGAAAAAGCAAGAGCAACCTGAAAGTCTTGATCCGAAATCATCTCCAAAAAAGAAACTTATCCATAACCCCCCACCCGGACATCCATTTAACATGAAAGAACCATAGCATGAAACGTGTTTGCCAATGAACATCAACTTTTCACATGAAAGAAACATAACATCAAACCACGTTCCTGTGCTAATTGACCCCCCCCACCCCCACCCGAGACGCACATCGAGCGACATCGAAAAACGACAAAAAACGACATCAAACAACATGACATGAACCTCTCCGAGACATGAACCCTTCGGAGAACCCCCCGTCTGGAGGGTCCTCCGACATTCTCCCGGCACATCTTCTGACATCCTTTCTGGTACTCCAGCCATATCTTCTGGCATGCTTTCTGGCATATCTTCTCGCATTCTGCAGGCCCGTGCGTGTCTAGACAGGGCTGGAGCTCTCCATGCTGTGCAGGTCCGTGCGTGCCCGGACTGAGCTGGCACTTGCTGTGACATGAGGACATGGCAGGAGGAGAAGCAAGGAGTAGCAACAGCACTTTGTTGAAATCTAAAGACCTTCACCTGGCAGGTGGGGAAACACGGTGAAGGGTGCTAGAGTGCTACAGAATGCCACAGGCTGTGCCACTTTGAATGGTAGGTTTGTTTTTATTTCCCCCAAAGAGGGGGTACTTGCACGAACTCCCACACTCACACTCGTTGACCAAGTCACTCTGATACAGTACAGTTCCTTGAGGTCACGATCTGGGGCTGCGTGTCCACTCTCAGATATCCCAAATGAACATACATTGGAGGAGGAACCATTGTAGCCACCAATCCTGAAGGCATGCATGTCCATGAAACACAACGGAATCTGTTATTATATAGTAACTATAGCAATGATATAACCACTATGTCTGCAACCACTTCGGGCGCCAAGGAAACCAACCTTTCCGTCCGATCTTTGGACATTGAATGCTGGAAACACTTTGCATACCAAATGATTTAATGGAAGGCATTTATAGAATGCTATTCATGTTTATAATACTATTATCTGTATGTAGATAGTCATGTACATACATTATATGGCCGAACGGTGCCTATTCTATCTACAGTTCGATGCCGCTTGTGCGCCGGTTCCCGGCGCGGAATACACCTCGCATTTGCCTCGGTCCGGGTCCGGGACGCCGTTTCACGGAACACGTCCATGCGTGGGAAGCAACAGTCCATATGAGACTCAAATGACGTTTATGACTCAATCAATCTGTGTGACTTCAAAGAAACATGATAACAGGATGTAACAGGACTGATTTTTCCATGAGACTCTACATCTCTACAATTCTCTACATCGTCCACAATGCCATCCCAAAACTCTTCTGTCAATTCCTTATTCCACTCGACTTGTGCCCACCAGTACTTCCTCCAGTGCCGCTTTGACCCAACCCAATTTCAAGTGTAGCCCCCCCTTGAACGCAACCGTGAGCCTGCCATGGCAAGTGCCTTGAACTACAGTAATAGTCAGCTATTCCAGTCCTCTTGCACCGCTAGCAAACCGCTACCCATGCAATTCCCACGCTCTTTGGCTGGAAGGACGCCCTTCAAATCCCACGGTCCTTCACAGGTCATCCCCGTCCCCGTCGTCGCTGAACCGTCATCTCCTGTCATCTCCGGGCTTCCTCTGCTCTCCGGGTCCCGTCACTGCTCTCCGCTTCAGTGCCTTCTTCCTCTCCGCTTTGCTCAGCTTGATTGGGATCCTGTGTCCGGAGCGGTGCATCGGAGGGGTGCCCCAACCACCCGGAGGTCCAAGCGTCAGATGTGTTGACTCGTTTGGTTTGTTGATTCACCCTGAAGCAGGCTGTGAAAACAAAGCAAAACCAGGATGTACTATGGATGTGTATGGCAAGCACCTCGAAATCCTCGATTCAATCAAACGTCAACCTTGTGATGTTTTACGATGTTGTACTCGTCATCAATCAATAGCTGTGAATACCATGTCACCAACATACCAACGACACAGGTCTGCTTTCATATTATTCCTCCCGAAGGTGTTTCAATGTGTGTCGGGATTGCAAACCAACCTCATCCGCGGCGGTGTCCCCCCAAGGCACCCAAGGACGTTGGCGACGGCGGGCACATCGACCTCCATATCTCTGGCCCTGAGGTCACGCTGAGCGCTGCAAACGGGATGGCATTAGTACTTGTTGTTTGTTCCCCCCAAAATGGGATGTCTGTTGAGCTCAAAAGGAGGATGACCTCACGGAAGCAAATCAAGTTCCTCTTCCTTAAAACTTCCTTGCCCTCCATTTGGAGGTTTCTTTGGTAGAGTCCACTTCCTCAAAATTGCCCCAAATAACTTGACAAGTATGCTGGGACAACAGTCGCTTCGGACTTCCACCTGCAGCACTAGAGGACCTGGTGCATTGGGATTGATGTATTGAGACAAATACAGATACAACATAGGTCCTGATACCGATACCTGATACAACTTATACAGGTCCTGGCATAGATCCTCCGTATTCTTCATAGGTCATGATAAAACAGAATGCATCCATGGGTGTCCAAGGAATGGTTTGTGTCATGGTTGCATGGTCGGTGGATGTTGGTCACATTCATTCGCGTGATGGAAGTGTTTGAGCAGCCCAGGAGAGTCAGCAGAGTATGACATTTGCGAAAGCAAAAGTGCAGAAACCGTGAACCCTTGCAGAACATTGCAGAACCGAATGTGCCTGTCGTGATTCTGTAACCCTACGTGAATGTGCAGAGCAGAGTCATCTAAGAGCATGCAAGTTGATCAAACCTGCAAGACGTAACATGATGGTATAGTACACTTTCTGAAGGACTTTGTTGCGGTCGCCAAATAGAATCGAAAAGGTTCCAATATTCAATACATGTTTAATTGAGAAAGGGATTTAAGTTTTCTATCTATTGGGGGATCCCTATGAAGACTCGAAACCATGTGAGTATGTGGAAAGCTGCCACACGATGACAGCTTCAGCGTGGCCTTTCCCCTCTTCTACAGCGGAGGGGTAGGCCGAAACACGGGGATGCTTAATGCAGACTCTTTGGTCATCAAACCCCCTGATTTGGACTGTCAATCCTCTTCACCTTGGGGGTGATTGATTTTTGAGTCTTCATTAGACCATGACGGTCCGTGGCGCTGGTGCTCCCTGGGAGCCTTTTTGGAAGTACAGTAAAAGCATCAAGTGCTAACAGTTTCCGCCACTTTCTTCCACTTTCATCCACTATCCACTACATCTGGTGGGTCCATTGGTTTTATGATGATGTGTTGATTGAAATGACACATGTTCCGCTTGAAAAACCGCACTTCCGCGCACAAAACGGTGATGTTTCCACAGATCTACCAGCGCAGCGCGGTGATCGGCGGATGCGAGGCCCTGACAGGATGTAGTTTGTTGGCTTCATCACCAAGGTCTCCTTGTTCCCGTTCGCACCCGCCACGTGGAAGTTCAACTGGCCAAACGTTTGGAGAATGGGTTAGTGATGTTCGAGATGTAAGGCCATCTACGTGCAAATGCGAGTGAGTTTACTGAACAAAAGGAACAATAATATGACACTTGAAGAAGAGACTTCTCCGGATCTTAAAACTAGTGGTTTCAGAGGTTCGATGGCACAAACCAAACCCCAGAGGGTTTGGGTGTCCAAAAAAGGATCGCCTTTCAGGGACTATGCCATCAAACCTCTGAAACCAGCGTTTTTATAGAGTAGAGTAGATGGCATCGGTGGTCCGATGGCATAGGTGGTACCAGGTGGTCCTCTACTCTGAAAACTCTACATCAGGTTTTTATATATGCACTTCTTTACCGAGCCTGCACTGTGCGGCGTTTTCAGGTTTCTTGAGGGTATATAGTTTGGGATGTTCATCGAGATGTGTGTCGTCGAGTTGTTCACCTTAAACCAGGAGTCACAGAGCTCGGGGTTGTGTGGCTCGTCCCATCCAGTGAGGGTTTCATGTGGACAAGGGCACCCCAAGCCTCCATGACGCAACCCGTTGGAACTGCTGGAACCTGTTGGTTTCTGGGCGTAACCGTCTTGTGCAGTGAGAGATGAGTTCGGAGCCGCAACGTCGCGGCTCACGGAGGGCCAGGTCGGACCTGCCTCTTGGTGACATGGGGTCGCCCAGCATGCTGCACCCAGGGGCATGGGATCACCCAAACCGATCCTCCATGTTTACAGAATCGATGAAATGCGAAGGAATCCAAGCATCAAAGCATCTCAAAGCTACATTCGGAAAATCTGACCTCCCATGAACATCTCGCATTCGCCATACATTGCCTGCAAAGGTTTGTAGATTGCTCTGCAGACTGGATTTCTTTCTGACAAAGACGGGCTCCAAAGAGCGGACCAATTGCTAGGTAACGTACACATCTCCCCCAGGAAAACATGCCATCTATAGAGAATGGAGGGGTGTTCGACCACTTTCTCCTTCTCCTTCTATAGGTCTTCAAAATGAGAGGCCGATCGGATCCTTCTTCTTCCCTTCTGATCGCCGCCGCCGTGCCCTTCGCGCCTGTGGCATCTCCGTGTCAAGATCCACATTCTGAGGCGAGAGCGCGGCCGGGATCAACACCCACCGGAGCTCCAAAGCAGCCGGTGGCTCGGTTTTGGATTGAACACCTTCTCGTCTCTTGGATGCTGAAACACTGAGATGCTGAAACAGCATGAATTTGGGATCAAAAGATCGACTCTATACTCCAAGCCACCGGTGGGAGAAATCCATGTCTGGACGCAAAGGTTTTAGTTTTTCGTTCAGTCAGTTCATTTGGATGGGTCCAAGAGAATCAATAGATTTCAACAAAAAGGGTCCTCGGTTCCAAAAAAAGTCCATGAAAAGGGTCCCCTGGTACCATTCGTGGGCAACCATGGCATCCTTACGGTTCCATCGGCCACAAGTCTGTTTTAGAGACAGGCCGAAAGTCAGTCGCGTGAAAAGCAGACGATTTAATGTCAAGTCAGGTTTAATACATCACACCTGGCTTATTGCTCCCATTATAAGTCTGATTGAAACGTGAGAAGTGGCGATGTTCACCTGGAACATATTCAAGTATTTCAAAACCATGCCTAATTCACCTGAGCCAAGCAACGAGGTTCCTACTTCACTAAATAGAGATGGTCTCTTCTTTGGGGTCCTTCTGATATTTACTTCCTTTTGTTGCGTTCTTCTGGCACTTGGAAGAGGGAGTCCTTCAAGAACATATCAAGGATTCAGGATTGATCGATTTCTGATTCAGCTATTAACACGATTAGAAAGAGAACAAAATCACAAAACAAACCAACCACAAAAACAACTTATATAATCATCCACTATAATTATCTATAATAATATATATATATTGATATGCAGCACACACGATCCCCCTAGTTAAAACTTGATTCTTGGTCTGATACCTTGAGCTTTTATCAGAATCATTGCATGCCGTTGTCTGAAGTCTTTGGGGAGGGAAAACATCTCCCTCATCTTGAAGCAACTCGCATGCCACTGAAATAAACATGACAGGACAAAATTTTGCCAAAGGTGTGGTCATTCAACATGAAATGTGTTCACTGAACCAATAATGGAAGGGTTTCAGTTAAAGCTGAATGAATATGGATATGGAAGCAGATTGGCCAAGAAGGAGTTGACATTAGAGGTGCAGTAAAGGACCGATTGAAAGGGCCCGTTTGGATGTTCACTTTTGGAGTGAAACCGTGAGCAACCATCTAACTAGATCGAAACAGGACTCTCTATGAAACCACATTCTGCATGATGTGATTCTGGGTCTCTCGTCACCCCCCCCACTCGCAATGGTCATGGGAAGAAGTTTCAAGTTTTGGACAAGGATCAGCCAATATGTTGAGAAATGGCCTGGGAAGACTGCCTTCCTTCAAGATGGGAGTTCTTCTCTTATAAACATGAGACATCATGAGGCCATCCAAAGTAGACTCAGTCCTGCAAGCACGTCGAACCAACACCCACCTTCTATGCTGGAGGACATATGGGATGCTGAGGTACATTGGCCCATCCCCAGCGATCCTGTTGATGAAATCATGGGATTTTGCAGATCCGATGGGCTGCACAGACCACTTCCGATCTGAGGAAGGAAGACCTGGAAGGAAGACGGTTTCAACCACCGAAATTGCTTGTATTCGCTGAAGAATCCACAGAGCCTTGTGGGACTGCGGGGTGTTTCAGGTGAAGGGTCTAGTTTTGAGGAACTAGATAGAATTATGAATTAGTTACTAGTTGGATCCAGAGAATTGTACCACACATCAATACTTTTGCGAGAAACTCCGTCGCCGCTACGGCCCAGCCTCAATCCAGTCTGCGCAATGCTCCAGAAGCAGCTGGAGCGTCACGGACGGAGGCATCTCAAAATCTGCCGCAGCGATTCACTCGCATCGTCGCGTGAATCGCATGATGTGCAGTAATTAGCCACGACATGCCACGACCAAGAGGAAGGAAGTGGTGCCCTTCCAAGTCATAGACCTGTACTGCATGTATTATGAAATAATATTGGGATATATGCAGAGTAGACATGGGTTAGACGGTGTCCAAATTGTCCCAGTGTTTGCCAGTTGTTTGAGTGCCAGTTGCGTTTGGACTCAACCTCTCGTGCCCGTGCCGAAAAACGTCTTCATCGAACAACGTCTTCGTGTTCTTTCGTCTCCGACCTGAGCCGTCCACGATCTGCTGAAATGGAAGTGCTCCTGGCGGGACGTGCTGTGGGACGTGCCGTGGCCCATGGGAAGACAAAGACAGAGAGAGAGAGAGGGCGAGGGAGGGAGGGAGAGAGGGAGGGAGAGAGAGAGAGACAGACATTGGAAGAAAGGACGGGGTGCATCCAGGAGAGTCAGGACAATGATGGAACATGTGGTGCAGCCAGACTGGAAGACAGTTAGAAACATCAAGACATCCATGGCAAGTGCATCGCCACATGTGTCTTCAAGTTGCGTTGATCCAAAAAGATCATCTCCATCTAGCGTCCATGAACCGTCAGTGGGGGCGCGTTTGGCAAAACAATATCATTTGGACCAAGCAGAAGAGCCGCGACAAGACATCAGAACTTGAAAGAACGGATTCCTTAAGGATCCAACCTCCCAATATCCTGCTCTGCAGGGTCTTGGAGTCTGCAGACCGTTGGTGGTTTCTGGTGAGCGCTCTGGGTTCAAGGTGGCCTTCTTGAAGCTGCTCCTGATTCAGCCTGAAACACTTCTCCCAAAGACACCATCCCCAAAGGGGACATAGCGCCATTGATCTTAGATTCAGAATTCATTACTTGCAGATTCAGGCAAGGTGCCGCTTGAAGCCACAATGACTCTTAATTATATTACGGTATATATAAAGGTGCCTGGTCATTCCCCCAAATCAGCAGAAACAAACATCTTCAAGGTCAGGGAACCTCTGCGCTGCAAAGATGCGTGCGTAGCGAGCCCCGATGGACGTCGTTGCGAAACAATGCCACAACACCGTGAAAATACGTGCCAATCTCATCACCTCTCTGGAGTGATGGCATGGACAAGAATCATGGGTCTGCCTCACATCATACCACACGCCCTCCTCTTTGATCTTGAGGATTTACACTCTCTTTGCACCAAATCTAGGGATGTCCCCCACTTAGGGTCTACAAACTCCTTTGCTTCGCTTGCTACGGGATATTTACGTTGTCACAGTTCCGAGTAGTTCCACTTGTCCTCCTACTTTCCAGACTCCGCCGCTTGCCTGCTTCCACCTTTGCCTGGTCCCCGAGCATTTGGCCTCCTAAGCGACAGCACCGTCGCTGACGAGTCGGCACTCGTGCTTTCTCGCCACTCCATCGAATGAGAAACACCTCCTTAGGCTTAGACTTCTGGCGCATTGAATGCGAGGGAGGGGGCAAACTACACCAAACATATCCAAACACAAAGTTTAAGTCCTAAGATGTCGTTTTAGGTGTCCAATGACCCCGCACTTTGGCGGGGAAACCACCTCCAAAGGCATCTTTTGCTTGGTGAAGCATCTTCCTTCTCTTTCAGGGTCGCCACCCGGCCGCTGTGCTGGACTCGCTGCGCAGTATGCGAGCGCTGGACTCGCCGCTTTCACGGGCGTTCACGGGGACCACAGAGCGCTTTCCGACTCAGGGGACACCGGGGGAAACATCCCGAACATCTTGATCAATAGACCCCCCCATGTAAAGAGGTGTTTCAATTCAATGGGGAGAGGTACATGTATTAATCAAGAGTCTACATATGACTCATGACTCACAAAGGTTGCTTCCTCATGAAAACCCCCACACTGCAAAACGGGGAAAAAACCGACGGTGATTGCTGGGGACGTCACTGGTCGTACTTCCCCACCACTCCGCCCACCGCGTGCCGCGGGCCTCTTCGCGTCGATCCTGGGCGTCGCGTTCCGCGGAACTCGGTTGGTGGATCTTCTCGGCTTCAAGCTCGGGGCCGCGGAACGGGGGCCGCGCGGAACGCGTTGTCTGGATGAAACTAAGGACATGAATGAACTCGGTTTTGAACTCGGTTTTGATGTGACCATCATTCTTTTTTTGGGGGGGGATGCTACTCCAAACTATTGGCAGGGAAGAGGCTCCAGTTTCCGAAAAACCACACTCCCTTGAACTTGCCATCGCTGCTACTGCAGACCTGCTATCTCTGAGATCCCGCCTTTTTCAGGAAAGAGAAGTGAGTTGAAGAAAGGAAAGTCCACGGAACCCCCAGTCAGACTGGCCTGGAAACTACTTGAGGAATCCACTTCAACATCTGCCCCACTATCTGCCTCCTAGGTTGGTCAAACATATACATTGTCTTGTCAAGTAAGGCTATACTTGTGACCCAAAGGACACCCTATGGATTTCAGTCTACCACAGCTTCAGTTGCGATCTCCTAATGCACGGGCCAGCACGGGTTTCACCCCGCTTTTGGGGTCCCATGATTCGAGAAGTGGCCACAAGAACGTGGAAACATCTTTACACGTCACCAAAATCACATAACTAAGAAAAACAAATGAAAAACACATAAGCGAAAGTTTCTGAACGTTTGTGGTGCTATATTTCATACTGTACGTATAAACATGTATAAAGTATAAACTGTTTCATATGCCATATGCATTCGCTTGTGAAAGAACAAGGTCGCCTTCACCCCTTCACCCTCAGGAAGCCGTTGGTAGGTGTTTTTACCTCCACCGCTCCTGCGCTTGTGGGCACGAAGCCCGGTGGACGCATCGGGAGACCCGGATGCTCCAGGGTCTTGATGCCAGCTTCTGGTGGGCCTGCCCACGGGGGCCGGTCGCCGCCCGGGACCACGGAAGGGGCACGACGATTGGGCGTGAACTTGTTGGTGTGGGAGGTGTCGAATAGAATAACTGCCTTGAACTATCAGTACCTATCACCAGCAAGAGGCCAAATCATGTTGCACTTGAGAGGGTGAAAGATCAAATGCATCGTACGTGACGTATCTTGTATGACTGTATGACAAAAAGAAGCTATAATAACTATATAACATACTATAATCTCTGGTCTGGATACAATAATTACATGATCACCACATTCCCCATATTGAGAATACAGAATACCGTCCTAAACAAATTCACCCTTGAACCTTGGCTTCGCGCGAGGTAACGATTGTCATGATGGGGGAAGGGCTTTCACTGACACATATCTAGAGTCTCCACGTGACACCCTTTGTAGACCAAACTCAAAGCTTCCTGAAACCACCGGCTGCCGCCTCTGGAAGAAAATGCATGGGACACACGGGACGCACGAAAAATACTATACATTCATCTGGGAGCTTTCCCAAAAATCCTTCCAAACATGTTGGGCCATCCGGACACCGTATTCCAGGACACCGTGTTTGAGACAACGACCAAGCCGGTGGTCTTGTTCTTTCGCTTCGCTTTGCAGACCTCGCTTCGCCCGCAGCGCCGGGACCCTTTCGCGCCTCGTTCTTCTTGGATTCCGACGCCGAGACCCTCTGGGCGAATGACACGCTCCACCAGGTCTAAGAACTCCGTGGGCTCCTCCACGCACATCGCTACGACATCTCGGTGCTTCACGACGACAGAGAAGACCAACAAGCTCGTCTCGTGGTGGACAGGGACATCTGACGACTCAAGCTATAAATGTGATTTAAACAACCACATGAAAGCACCAGCAAGTACTGAGAGCAAACCAACACCTCTTTGCAATGGTATTTCCTGGGGGACGCTAATACGTAGCGTCACCCTGGTTACACGCATGTCATGTGTTTTTTGTCCCTTTCTTTTGCTTTCGGTCAGCTCATGCGTCTCCACGTTTGGCGTCTCCACATTTGGACAAAACATCTGAAAAGCGGTCTGATGACCGATGGAGGTCGATGCGATACAGACATGCTCAATACATACCCCAATGACAGCAGTCCTGCTGGATAAAAGCCAGAGTGCCCATACCGTCTCCTGTGCGGGTTTGTTTTGGCTATAGAGTCTTTCGATTCTAGGATTGTGACTGACCTGGTGATGCACATTCTTCCGCAGGGATCACAATTTGATTTCAATCGTCTACGGGCGTCCACAAGATTCCCTTGAGATCAAAGCCGAAACAACGACCAGGTTGCCCCTTGCATGACTCCTTTGAAGGTTGACAAACTTGAAATTTCATCCTCTACAAGGACTAAAGTGACTAGAACATGCTTGCATGACCATTCTGGTGGTCAGAAAGTCAGAAACAAGGTAGCTCTTGTGATCGCCGCAACAAACACTGCCCGACTCGGAACTATAGTATTGATTATACATATCTCTTTACTTCTGATTTGCTTTTTGAGGCATTGGATCCAACATCTCAGAGTGCCTCGAGGTGTAGAAACGAACAACGGGCAAATAATCCATCCCTTTTTGACTAGCCGAGGTGCTATTGATGTGTATTTTAGTCTTAAGCCAACCCCTGTCATGGCTATTGATATATATATATATATAACTTTCCGAATACGGACTTCTCAACGTTCGCCATGACTCGTCCTTGGTCCACAGCCATGCCCCGCTTCCGCAAGTCCTGCAATTCCTGCAGTTCTGCACCCTCCGGTTGCAGGTGATCCCCAACCGATAGGTTTCAGTCTACTGTAGTTCCCTTCTTGTGATCTGAGGCGATGGATTTTGTGATTTTGGTGTATGTTTTACTGTAATCTGTGTGACACCCCTGATGATCTGGCTGGGTAGGCTGGTGTATTTCCTGATTTTTTGAGGGGGTCGTTGCCTGGGAGGTCTCCTTTTTTAAATACACATTTGACAAATAGACGTTGGTTTAGAGGGATCGAAATGCCATGTTCCTCCATTTGCCGCTCCCCATTGCTGCGTATGCTGATTATATACAAACTCCATCAAACTCCCCAAACATGCAGATCCCAAATCATGGTTTCTGAGGAGGCCTCGCTTGTCATCCATTGATCCACTGCCGTCCTTGATGAGAGTATGGGGAGACAGTCTTTTGAGTCCCAATTGAGATACAGTTAGTGGATGTTAGTGGATCATTATGGCCATCTTCCTCAAACAAACACTGGGTTTTCGACATTGTTCCTAGTAGCTTCTTGCTCCTAGTACAAGTAGTAAAGCCAGGAGCCCCTAGTAGCGTCCTTGCTCCTAGTAGCGATGTCGGAGCCCCTAGTAGCTTCTTGTTCCTAGTAAGAATGTATTTAGACATTTGACCAATATCCTAGACTCAGCCGTGACACGGAACACTTTGCCGTCCATGTGGCCATTTTCCCTTCACCACTGCTGCATACTGCTGCCAATCATGGTCTCTAACCCATGGGCTTCGCTTCGGCCTCCTGCAGCTTCGCCTGCGTATCTTTGCACCGCTGCCAACCGTTACAGACCGCCTGGCAGCGGGCACGGCGGTCTGTGAAGCGCTGGTCACGGCAAAGTTCTCTCTACGAGGCCCAGTGAGAGTATTTTACTCTATTTCTTCCTTCTACCCAGGGGTGCTGCTTGGCAGCGTTTTGCTTTCAGACGAGTCCAATCATGCCTTGTGCGGCTGTCGTCATGTCCCGTACTTCCTTCTTGGGAGTGCGCCTGTCCTGCAGTCAAGTAGAAGGAAGTTACAAGCAAAATGGATCAACAAGGCTCCCCAGATTGTTCAAAAAAACAGCAACAAAAGTCGCACCACGAGAGTGAGACTTGCGGCGTTTTTCAATATCCCATCCTGAAACGCCAACTGGGCCAACTACCACTCCAAAGGAAGCAAAGAATTAACACGACGTCTCCATCAAAATTTTTTGTGAGTGTCCATCTCTCCATCCCCCCCACGCTACTAGGGGCTCCTGGCCTTACTACTAGGAACAAGAAGCTATATATATACTAGGAGCCCGGAGCCCCACAAAATGTACCTTGTACCTCGCGCCTCGAAGAGCATCCCGAGCTGCATCTCAGGTCCGGCGATCAGTGTGGTGCCACTGTCAGGGATGATGCCGCAGGCCGTCCTCAGGGCCGCCAGGCGGCTGCCAGGCGGCCACGTCCGCTCTTCCGTGTGGGTCCGTTCTGTGCACCTTCACCACGATGGGTCTGGTCTTGCATGCCTTTTTTCGGCTGAAGAGGCTGAAGAGGTCGGTGGGTGAACACAAACACAGAGACACCAGGAAAGACTAAAATAGATTCGCTCACCCCAGGTGTCCGATCCAACTGACTCTTCCATTAATACCTGGGAAGCCGGGCTCCATGCCCGCTTCCTTGCTCTTGGGATCGCAAAAGCTCACCTGCATCTTCTGATCACCAATGGAGATCCCCTGGAAATCCAGGCCCCAGTGGAGCTTGCCTCAGGCGAGAGGCACCGATGGACGTGTCAACGGAAAGGCACCACATGGCCGTTTCTATGGGCGTTTCTGTTTTCAAAAGAGTTCCGATGCGCATGTTGTTGCAGGGTGTCCCTCCCTCCAACAAGCATGGTTTTGTGCAAACGAGCATTTAAAGGTGTCATTTACTATATATACATACTATTTCAGACTATCAACAAATTGCTGAGATTGCTTTCAACCACTGGGGAGGTCGCCTGAGACCAGCTGGCCGCGCAAACGAGAAACCTGACCGATTTGGATTTGGATGTTCATGAAATTTCAGATTCGTCTTTGGTTAAACTAGAGCTCTCTACCTCAAAATGCACGGCCATCCAAACAATGGTCTGTTAATGCCATGTCTAATCAAACTTGCACCTGCGGGTTCACATCCCCCAACCATCCCTTGGGATCCTTGGGTCTAAAAACACAAACGATCGGTCAATTTCACCCCTACTGCGGCACCATACTTTTGGACATCTGCATTCACTTGGAGTGTCGATGCTCACGGACAGCGTCTGGTCCCCCGGCCGAGCGCCCGGGCCGACCGAGCTGAGAGCATTGGGATGCGGCGGCGTGTTGATCCCTAAGACGCCATCAGCCTCGCCGCGAGGATCGGAAGCGACCCTCTCGTGCCATGCCGCAAAGAAGGAGTGTACACGGGAAAGCTGCTGGGTCGGGGTAGTTCAAGGACGAGGTCATGAGGAGTTTATGGCTGAGATAGGCTGTTAGAGATGTCAGAGGGCTACAAAGCCATCTGTTATGTGGTCCAAAGATCCTTCTGTGTGCCGCTTGTCGAGCTGGATTGGGCCTCTGCAAAAAGAGCAGTTAGCCGCTGGCAGACCACAGGAAAACATTCTGAGTTTGGACTATCGATGGACGCCGTTGATTTTTGCTCGTTCATCTGCGCATATCTGCGCCCGTCATGTGACAGGTCGACCAGTGACCGCGTCACCGGTGCCGTGGCGCCGACGGATGGCGGACGATGCGGAGGATGACAGCGGTCTCCTCTTTTGGGCGCCAAAAACACACTGGAAACGGTGAAGATGCATGAACATGAAGAACAGGTGAACAGGATCAAATGAAAACCGAGAAAAACATTCTTAAAAGATCGTTTGAATCTAGAACCATACATAGCAATCATTGCAGAATGGAAGGCGCCAAATTCAAAAAGAAACACACTCAACCATCATGAATCATGATGTTATAGGGAGTCTGCCGGGAAGGTTCTGTGTATTGCAACTATAGGATGCTATTTGTAGGAACCGTTGTACTTGTTTGGTTGGGTGATAGAGATGCCCAACTTCTTCCAACGAACTTTGAATTCGGTCATGACCTCCGCACCCTTCTTGGAGGTCATGGCCCACCGGTCCGGACACGGTCGACCGGTTCCACCGATCCCAACCGGGCGGATTCCGGGTGTCCGCGCGTTTCGGTTGAAGCACATGGAGAAGCGCTGCACATGAGCGCGATCAAAAAAGCCTCCCGATGTCTGTGACCCGGCCAGCGAGCGAAATGCACCAACCCGAAAAGAGGTCCCAAAAGATATGTCCAAGAAGGACCTTCACATTTAAAAACAAACATGATCTACTGTAAAACAATAAGTAGCAAACCCTATTTGCCTTGGGTTTTGTACCTTTGCTTCCCTGGTGCGGAGTGTGACCACCTGGATGAATCTCGGTCATCAAACTGATATCGCTTCACCAAACTGAAATAGTTGGCCCGTTCATGTCGATCCCTTCATCCCTGCCCCGTTCATCAGGACGTTGGGTTCACTGCGCGTTCATCGCGGCCTGGCACATGAACCATCGATTCCTCTTGAGACGAACCGTCCTGCTTCTCCTGCACATGGGAGGACGCGGCGAACGGAACAAAGGGCATCGCCACGAACGGAGCAAGAAGCGAGACGTAGGGGCGCTCCTGGCATTACTACATAGTAGCAAGGGACGCTACTGGAAAAAAATAGGACTTCAACTCTGTGGCGCTGTAACTCCTGTCTCAAGAGAAATGATCGCAACTAAAGATGCCGAGCGAATCGAACCGTCGATCTAGGCCACCAGGTATCCAAGCACCTGAAGAGGTACTCCAAGACCCACACATATCCAATGAAACATGAAACATCATGACACAATGAGTCTCACCCTCTGTGGTGGTCATCTACCTTCAAAATATGAGTCAGCCACGGTCGTGGTCGGGTCAAACCCTTCAGAGTGCAATGATATCTTACCCCATCTGCTGTTGGCTTTTGCCAGCAAGATTGGTGTGATAACAAGCATGGACTATGGACTATGGATATCCTTTCTTCAATCAATTAGCATTGAAGCGAAAAAAAACTGGTTTGCTGAGCTTTGAAATACTCTCCAGTTCCATTTACAACAAGTGTCTAGGGCGGCTGTGTTGGGTCAATACCACAAGGACATCTTGCAACAAGACTGGGGAGCCTTGCACCATAAGAAACCAATCAGAACAACAACCATAACAAAGCCTGCAACCAAAATACATCTCCTTTTCAGTCTCCCACAATCTTCATCACTATCATTGGTACTAACTGTTCAACCTTTCTCGGCTCCTCCCGGACCGGCCGTCCCCAGTGTGGCGCGCCCGGAAACCTTCCGTGCAGTCCCACCGGCGTCGCCTTGAAGTCTGGGCGGCCGAGGCCCAAAATTCCTTCGAACTGACCTCGATGTGTTTCGTCCCCCGCGAGAACGGAGCGGAGCGAACCCGTTTTTACTGCGGTACGGAACGGTGGCTGGGGTGGTACTCCCCCAGAGAAAACGAAGCCAAACTGGATGAATACAAACAATGTTTGAACATTTTAGATTCAACTCTTGAATTCCATCTTCGCTGGCCAGCCGTGGACGTCCATTTGATTGGGAGGATCATGATTGAAGAAGAAGATCTCAGCAGCAAGTGACTCAAGTATATCCTCTTAGTTGCTAGCCAACCAGCGGCTTTGGCAGTCGCCCTAATGCATTGGATGCAGCGTGCCTGTCTTGAGTCGCAGGCTCCCTAGGCTCTTGGAGTGCCAAGGACGTGGCACGTACTTTTTGCTGATTCCAATGCATTTGGGCAGGATGCGTCTTGTTTTGCGGCTTTCTTCAATAAATGGGTGATAAGTTAAACTGATATGTTGTTATTACTGTGTTTGTTGTAGACGTCTTTTGGTGGCATACGGCCAAATAATTGAAATCAGTTCACTAAGGGTTTTGATAAGACAGGTTCAAGTTCCAAAACGGTATACCATTTAAAAAGTCCGAAGAGTGTATACATGATGTGCATGTATACAATGTATACGTGACGTCTACGTACGGACTTGGGAACAAGCAGCGAACAACCGACAGGCAGCACGAACGAAATCCCGTCTGAAAGCGGGTGCAGATCCGAGTTCGCGCGGGGTGTTCGGTCGCCCCGTACGTCCCACGGACGCGAGCTTGCCCAGCTCCACACGCGCAGAAGAGGCGCCTTGAAGCTTGAGAGCGTGATCGACCTAGGCCAAGGGTACAATGATTGGAAGGTCCCCCAAAAACGAAGACCAAGATCGAACGACTTATATAGTTTATGTATAGATGGGTGATTTAAAAAAAAAAAAAACTCCATGCACATAAAGATGTTTGTTCATGTCTGGTGGATTCTGGTGTCTACATAAGGGGCCCCAAACGAAGACATGGTGGGTTGTCCCCTTGGGTCATACCTGGAGATTTCGCGCAAGGCGGAAAGTCGAAGTTGAACATCCACCGAACGGGACCTGTGGGCCTTCTGGCTTCATTCCCCGGCGTGGACATGCGTGGATTCCCCCGGCGGGCGGCCGGAGATAGATCAGACGAAAACCCCATCAGTTCGAGATAGAGCAGACCTACCCAAACACGGAGTGGGCCTGGGATGTATTATGACACCAAACATAAATATGTTATGACCCAGTGAAAAGCCCAAGAAGATGGTGCTGCGTGTATACGGTGTGTCTACTGTATATTCATGTACTGAAATTCTCTTGCATGGTTGAAACAGGGAAGACCTTGATCACCTTGAATAGCGACTTTCATAAGCACGGTACATAACTTCACACATTGCATTCTTTGAACCATGAAATTCAAGGTATGTACACTCTAACAATCATGGAAGTGGAACGTAGGCCCCTGCAAGACCATTTTCCTCTCCAAGTAAGCTTCCATGATTGTCTGAGGTAGGGTACACATCATGACAAGCAAAAAGAGACCTTTGGAAGGTACACATGCTTGAGCGTAGCAGCTCTTATCGCATGCACAGTCGTCTGCACGGACAAGGTTCCGCCCACGAGATCCCTTGTCAAACTTCTTGATTCGCACTGTTTTCCTAGTGTCCTCTTCGCAACGTCTCTGCTCATAATCAAATCAATTCAGCCCCAAAACAGGACCGTGTACTACGGCCACCCCAAACCAGCCAGACAGCTGGGCCACACCTCTTTTGGGCTTGTCCCGTGTCTTTTTTTGGTTGGGCAGAATCCGTCAGTTCACGCCATCATGAGCTCACAGGCATCAGTAGGCTTTCCATCAATACTCCGCATCATCTGCACACTCATGGTACCTGGAGCGGTGTTTCGCGATGTTTCGCGCTGTGTCCATGGCGCTGTGTCGACATTAAAGTGCTGAAAGGACGTGTGTCAAGATGAACCTTTGACATGTCCAGCGTCCAGGACAGTGCTCTGAACAAGCATCACTTCCCCCATGCTAGGGCTGGCAGGGGCTGGAGTCCTCTGTGGTAGTGGGAACCACGTCTCATCACGGGCGAACGGAATGGTATAGTATAGGCCCGGCGAAAGAACTGAAGGTGTTCAAAAAACGGTTGGCCAAAGGTTCCTTGTCGCCATCATATCTGTCGGTGACCAAAGAAATTCGGAACAATACCCATAGGATTCGTTGCAAAAAAGAAAACGGGATCAGTCAATGAATGTATCAGCGCATCCATTTGGGCCACTGAAAAACAACGACCGTTCTGGTGCAAGGAGACCAAAAAGAATCACGACCAGTCCGTCGTCACGAAACCATCACCGGCCTTCTCGCACCACTCCTTTCCGCAAGTCGTAGATCCTCCAGGTGGCGGTGTGCCCAAACATCCCGAAGGCGCCCACGCGGATCAAATATGCCTCACCTGATCGAGGCACTGCAGGGAATCGGGGGGACCGAAAGGACCTCGGACCCAGGCCGCTTTTCACGGGGTGTCACTGGGTGATCTGATGAGGGTTCGGATCCAATTCATACCACATGGACCTTTCTTTTCAGAAAAGTAAAAAAACAACACCATGTCAACCTGCCTGCAAAGTGCTACGTCCACTTGAACAGTCTCCATGACCAACTGAAATGTTCGTTTTGTTGCCGCGCCTTCATCGAACTTGCACTCCTGGGGAGCAAGTTCAATAGTGGCACGGGCAAACATCAAGAGGGGCCACTCAAACTCTAATCACTCACCAGTATCCTTTTGCTCTCAGTTTGTTCTTTTATTGTGTGTCCTATGCTGATACGTTCAGTCAAGCTTCCAGCTCGCATTAAGTCTTGTTTACCAAGATAGGTTGGAAGCGTTCTGCGGTCCAATTCCAATTCGCACCACCCAGTACCAATTAAGTTCTGGCTCTTTCATGCGGCTCTGATGAAAGAATCATGTCACCCCAAGACAATGAATTCCTTTTCAATCCTTTTCACATCAAGGTCTTGCAAGTATCAATACCACCATCATGGACGAGCACTGGTAATTGTATTAGGCCACGGGACACATCCTGCTTGTGATTCCCTGTGATTGAATGCTGATCCTGCTTTTGTTCACCATCCGGCCGACCATCCGATTCAAAGTACGTGGACCAGCAATTACGTACGACCCAATCTTGGGATTCCTATCCCTCCCTTCTCCTCTTGAATGATGGGCAAAACCTTCTCAGCATACAACTCATCGCGGAACTCTCCGCAGAGCCAACCCGTGAGCTTCAACATCTGCCACTCATCCACACTCTTCGTCCCACTGACCTGCAAGAAGTCCTGGGAACGTCGGAAGACACATGGCCGTCGTCGGCAAATGCACGTCAGCGAATGGCAGATCCGCATTCCTCCTCCCCATCCAGAGCTTTGACCCCTATCTGATCTTCAGGAACTCCTGGGTCTATCAGAAAGTCTAAAAGCATCTAGGTCCTGGATTTGATTCCCAGCTCCCAGGATGTTCTTGTCTGGAGTTCCTTTAAGTTCCTCCAGTTCTCTAGCTAGAACGACGAAAGCAAACATGACTCCATAATTGCGGTGGCGACAGTTGTCTGATAACTTGAGGACCCTGATACCATGGTTTTGGTGTCTCAAGTCTTCCCATGTTCCGAACCAACTGGAGCAACCTCCTGTGAGAACAGGGGTGTTGTCACCCTCAAACCAACTGTGGTCCCGCGCTGAAACTCCCTTGCACAGAATAGAACCGCCCTCCTCGATGAGGCGTGCAATACATTTCATGTTGAAGGTGGCCAACCACAAGTAGGCGAAGCTCAGGTATCCTGTGCTCCGAAGCCGGTGCCGAGACTCGTGTTCTTGAGGAAAGAAAGTGCATTCAGCAGTCTTTGAAGAGTCAACCGGTATTCCTCCTCTATCTATCGTTTTGTTTCTTCCTCCTCCTCCTCTTCTTCCTCCCTCCCTCTCTCCTGTTTCCTCTCTTTATATGTACTGGTACATATATATATATATAATTCATATATATATATATACATATGAGGGACGGTCAAAACTCCTTATTCTTCTTCAACAAAAAATGGACGTCATCGGTTTTGAGTTGGACCTTATCGTTTTACAGTGTTTTGAGTTCGTCGCATACTTATGATCATATACAGCGCTGGGGTTATCGGTTTTGAGGTGGACCTTATCGTTTTGCAGGGTTTTGTGCACAAACCTACCCGTCTTTACTAAAGTGGTCTTCGCATGTTTTGACCGTGGCTCATATATAACCATCCCTCAGGACTGGTCCAAGACGCCCAAGCAGACCTGCAAATAGGGCGCTTCCTCCAAGAACAAGGGATTCCCAATGCCTTTCCTCGGAGGAAGCAGCTGAGCGGCTGGACCGTGCGGGGCTCTACGGCGTATTGGCCAGGTGGGTGAAACACATAGCGGGTGGTTTGATTCCATGGACCGCAAACCCCAATACAACATGTACATGTGGCAAAAAAAGACTCATGCAAATTTGTTGAACAAACAACATGATGTCCAAATAGATATATGATATATATATATATAGAAATGATGTCGGATCCTTCATTCCTATCGGCTTGGCGATGGGACATCCGCGAGATCAGAGTTCATGGTCTTCCGGACCATGGGCCTTGTTCAAACAAACGAGGCCACCGGAGGGGACTGAAGTCGGTCTTGGATATTCCGCCCAGCCCCCTTCAGGGCAAACAAGAAGAATGATCATGTCATGTTTCGAACTACATGTGTTGAAAGGTGTCGACTGCCATTGGTCTGAGGGGGAGATGTAGTTTAATGTTCTCTATCGTTCAATACAAGTATGCTTTATAATATATAATGATACAAGTCCAATCAATGTTGACATACGGCATACCAGCCACAACAAGAAGCAAACATTGGACAAAACACAGGTACATCTCCAAGACCTCAAAAAGTGAGTGTTCGTTGTTCCCAAGGTCGGACCGGCAGATTCGTGGCGTTTCGTTTCGTGTTCCACGGTCCCCACGGTCCTTGGTCGGCCAAGGCTCGACTGTCCAACAATCTCCAACTTGTCCTTCACCCTTGGAGGGTAGAGGACGCTACTAGGAACAAAGGGCATCGCTACGAACGGAGCAAGGACGCTACTAGAACCTCCTGGCCTTACTACAAAAGGAACAAGGACGCTACTAGGAACAAGTGCCTTACTAGTAGCAACAAGTGCCACGCTACTAGGAACAAGGACGCTACTAGGAACAACACCCTCGAGACCGACCGACAACCCCTCCCCATCCGGTCAGGAACCGGACGACGGACTGACGGGGCGTGGTGGGCTTTTTTGGGGACAAAAACTATCTACCTGGTTCTTCAGTTCGTGACCGTACTTGATCACCTGGTTGGTTCGGTCACTCTGTTTGGGTCACTTAGGAACCTTCAAAAGGTCACGAATTGAAGAAGCTGGATAAACACTTCTTCCCAAAAGGGGATATTCACTCATAGGGATCACCTGGATCAGTGTCCCACCAGGTTCGGGTTGGTGTCCTTTTTTGGCCTAGCCAGCGGTGCAGTGCTTGGGGGGTTCATCCAGCACGCCACTACGTTGCACCAACGCATCATACCACGTGGGGCCCGTGCCTTTGCGTCTTCTTGACAAAGAAGAAGGACTGGACCCAGTTGCCCGCCCAGTAGCGGTGGCTCAGGTAGTAGCCGACCTGCCGAGTGGATCCGAGTGGAGTCTCCAAACATCGCTGCCAAAGCTAATTCTTCAACGTCGTAAGGATCGGTGCAAGTGATTCAGTCAGTTCTTCTGAGCAAATTCTCGAAGTGCTTGGTGCCCTAAATCGGATGTTCTGGGCTGGCAGCGACTGTTCCTGCTGTTCATGATGCACTCAGAAGACTCCGGAGCACAGCTGTACGGAGAAGAAACACATCAACGCCCCCAAGCGGCGCAGCAAAACTACATCGACGCACCCAAGCTAGTCATATGGTTTTTGCACCGGTTTTTTGAGCGGCTTTGCCGGACAAAGCTTCTGAACTCAGCCGCTTGCTCGTCCTCTCCAAGGGAGTTGCTTTAACTACCAACTACCTTTGAGGAGCATAAAAAACAACGACGATAGGATCTCAAAACTCAGGAGCCGAAGAGCTCTGTCAAGTTTTAAACTTGCGATAGCCGAAAGAACTAACTGGAGAGCTATATATACCCTAGAAGTCCAAGGATTTTGACCGTTCTTTTTATAGTCTTTGACTCCCAGGGTATATATATATAAATATATATAATATGTCAAGCGACAAAATATGCGGAGACCCGTTAGAATCCTCCAACTTGCTCGCTTCTCACCCATCTACCGCAGCGCTGTGTGGTGCAGGCGCGAAGCGCCGCGCTTCGCCGCGCTTCGCCGCGCTTCGCCGCGCTTCGCCTGGTCGGGCCAAATGTTGCCGTAGCAGCATACCAGCAGCTCCATGATGAAGAACGCGATCAGGTATCCTTGAATCATGCAGCTGGTCAACTTGTCCCATGCCTGTGGGAAAAATGTGTAAAGAGAGGTTGGATGAGGTTCCTTTAAGCTCAAGAACCTAGACCAGGAATACGTGCAAGCAAAGAAGAACTTGCAGCTAATCATGGAACTTATGAGTAGGCCAGATTGAACTGCAACTATACAAGTAGGTCAAATTGTATCCAAGTGTGTCAACACCGTATCCAAACTGTGTACACAATAACTTGGCCAAGTAAGTCTCCACTCATCTCAGAGAGGCTTTGGAAATCAAAGCCGAAATGGCCCAAGTAGAAGAGATAGATTCCTCGCTGGCTCGTCGTGCTCGGGCTGATGTGTGTGCCAATCTAAGTCCTCTATAGATCCCTGTAGATCTCATGAAAAGAAAAACACAAACACATACGATATTGAAATGGATGTTCATCACAGAATTGACAACAGAACTTGATCTACACCTTGGGTTTATCCATGTTCATCCCATGACCCAAGCCCTGTGGATGATGATTGATTAGGTAGCAGGCCTTTCTGAAAAACGTGATTGTCTTTTACTGACTGGTACTGGTAATGGGGCCGCACCGTGCTTAAAAAGATTGTTGCCATTGATTGATTTCAATCCTTCAGCCACTAGCAGAATAAACACAATAATCGCCGTCCCCAAAAGCATATATCTCGGATCATGCGACTTTGGAAGTCTGAGTTTCACTGAGACTTAACATACTTGGACCCTCTGTATGGGCGGCTCGTATTCCACAAAACCGCATTGGTTCGACGGAAGCCAACATGCATTCTTCGGGCCCGCCATCACAACATGTCTTGCTACGGTCAGCGACTGTATGGTGGACTTGAGAAGTTCCCAAGTGAAACAAAACAACTTGACTTGAGGATTTGTATCTCTCAAATTTGACGTACACCGGTACATCCCTTGTCCCGCACAAAAAGCAGGCCAAGGGGGGGGTCAGGGGGTCAAGCGTGGATCCCTGGAAGCCCATGAGTGGAATCCCGATCGCATCAGCCGATGTTGTGTGGTACACCCTCACCCCGTCGTCGGGTGAGACCCGGGGTCGGATGGGCTCTTGGATCAAACAACTCTCCGTGGTGAAGGGTGTGTATTCCTTGAAGCGCAGCACTATCTTCATTGATCTGGTGTTCTACTTTCTCTTCAATAGTGCCTTCTTGGGAAGACCTTGGATCCCTTGTTAGAAGGAAAGATCGCTCCAAAAATGTGCAAAAAATTCATGGATTGAGGGTCTCCATGTCCTTTTGGAAATAGTAGAGGCGTCAGTGCCAGGTACCATAGACCTTTTGGTTGTACACTTGGAGTATCCCCTCTATCAATCAACCAACCAATCAAAATAGACGCCATCCATGGCGGTCCCAGCCTCCGCCGTCCGCTGAAACACGGTCCGTCCGCCGTGGCGCCGTTGAGGCAAAAACACAGGTTCCAGGAGTAGACGTCAAAGGGCGCGGGCATCAGCAAAATGTAGATATGCATGGCCACAAGCAACCAAAAGCCCGTCCAAATGGCCAAGTCATTCGGAATCCTCAGTGAACAAAAGGGGGTCAAAGCCACCTGGTGCAGTATCTTGTACATCAAACACATTGTATAAATTGACAAACATATTGGATGGATCTTCTTGTGGCGGCGACTCCTGTCATGGGTCCCTCCCAATCTTTGAAAGCTGGTGCACAACCATCTCCAAGTTTCACTCAGAAAGCCAACAAATGTGGATTGGACATTGAATGGACCCCAATGTTCTATTACAACTCATATCAACTCATCTACCTGAAGATTCGTTAGCAAATCTGCAAAAAAAAACACCTCGTTGCTGAGAGTTTCATCAAGAGGACTGGTGCCACATACTCCGCTGCAGCTGCGGTGTGCGCCAAGACTTTAGCACTTCGGGTCGGCTTCATCCTTTGCGCCACGGCTGTGCCGGTGGGTGGAGCTGCGGACGTCGGCAAAGAACCGTGACGTAGACGACTGGGATTCGTTCTCGTTCTTTTGACCGGACAAGTTGCAACGTAATTTTCTAGAATTGACACGAACATCTCTATATGTCGTATATATATATATATATATACTGTAAATGTGTATATATATTATCTCCTATGTACAAGAGATCAGACTGGAATCATGTGAGACAAAAATCATCTCAGACCCTATACAAGAATAGGCTGCTCCAATATCAAGGTACAATTGTGAAACAGGCTGCACAATTGTGAAAGACAGGCCACAACATCCCCTGCGGTTGAAAATTGTGAAAGCTAACGTACTGTTCTGACATGTTCTGGCACTATTGGCCAGAAACCACTTCGATGGAAGTCAGTGCCTCGAATGCGGAATGAGAAAGGCCATGCGATGCCACATATAGCCATGCAACCGTTTAAAATGCACAAATGACACCGATAACCTTCAGCCAAATTCAGCAAAAACAGTTGACATCAAACATGATTGAGTATTGAAACCCTAAGACTCTTGATTAATAAGCCCCAATGGAATTGAAACACATCTTCATGTGGGGGGGGCTTATTAATCAAGAGTCTACAGTACAAGTGACGGATCAAGAGTCTTATTAATACTGTAATATTGTGCGGACAGATATCAACTTGAGTCAAGGTAAACCTCCAAGGCAAGCAGTTGAAGCGAGGCATCTAAGAAATCTACATGGCTGCCATCATAGCCAGAGGTGTTGACCACAGCCAGCCAAGGTCTTGGATATCAAATACGTGTATGATGTAATTTAAGGTTCCCTGACATCTGTCTGAGTGGACCCATTCTCATCAAGCATCGTCTCATCTGACTCGATCAAGAGTCGCCGCAGCCAATTCTGTCCACGCAACAGCCTGGAAGAGCCCAACTGCGAGTGCAGGCTGGGACACTTCCCAAGGAAATCCGTGTTTGTCTTCGTGTCGGATGTGCTTCTTGGATGAGGGTCTAGGACCTGCATGCTTTAGAGATGGTCATCTAATCAAACTCTTTTTCAAGCTGTCAGACTCCCTCCAAATCCTGCCTTGACTGCAGCATGAAGGGCCCGTTGACATACTCAAACCAGGGCCCAATCTTTCCAACACCTGACCAGAGACTAAACAATGCTTGTGGATGATTCCAACTTGAGAAACTTCAAAGTCCGGGGATTTTAAACTTCGAGACCAGTTGCGAAGCGTGGACAAATCTGGGATTACGAGGGATCCACACAGAAGCACGACTTATATAGGTTGGACGTTTGGACACTGTTCCAAGAAAACAAGACAGAAAGAATGAAAGAGTTCCCAACTGACCATGAGACATCGTGAGATGTAGAGAGGTAGAAACCAAATCCAAGAACTGCTATTGATCCACACTCCCTGAACCCATCATAGAAGTGGAAAATGGATGAACATAGCCCCTATGTCGACCATCTTCCTGTACAAACAGCATGGCTCAAGATAGATACCTGGGTGTGTATTTGAATACGTAGACCCCATGAGTCTTGAATGGTTTTGGTCTATTTCCCGAACCTTCCATGGGGTCGAACTGGGAGCTCTCCCTATTTTAATACACACCCACCTGAACGCATTGAAGTTCTTATATAAACTATGGATCCTCATTGTACATGTCATGATTGATAGAGTCCACCTGTGCCCTAGAGTCCGCCCAGTGACCTGAGAAGAACCATTGCAGGATCAATCCCAGTTGGATCCCTGCCATACGTCCCCTGTGCAGGGGGAAACAGGCAGAGAGCAGCATGCTGCCGTAGGCATGACCGCTGCCTGAAGTGACGTTACGAGGCATCTGACGTGAAGTTCGGACGGACTCCACTGCTGGCCCTTTGGGTTTGCTTTCCGGGACGCAAGGAGGACTCATGGCTATTAGGTTGGAGGCCATCGCTAGTAGGGTGAAGGCCATCACACTTAGAAACAAAAACAGGGGTTCATTCGAAGACATGTCATACTATGTCATACGAGTGCATCAAATGTTGGAACACTCCTCACTGGTTTTTGACGGTGTTCGATGTTGATAGTGCCATTTCGAGAATTGTCTCACAGGCCCATTTGTTCGAGTGCGAAACAACTTAGCAATTCAGCCATTCCCTTCAGGACAAAGCACTCGCGTAGAACTGGGTCATGTCGAAGACAAAGAGATAGACATCGCAAAGCATCAAGAGCCAAAGAAGCGCTACATTGTACCACGTGCCTGAGCGATTAGTGCCACCAACCACAACAATCTCTGCACGCCTTGAAGAGAATTCTCTTTGTGCTCGACTTGATCATGCTTCTCTAAGAGCAACCTCTGAGAATTACCCCCCTGCCCCTGCAGCACCTGCTTGCCAACTGTCTGCACCAAAAGTCCTTGTCCCATCCCATCCCTCAAAGCCCGGCCACTGAGGAGAAAGCCCAGGCCCGAAAGGAAGAAGATCGCGTGCACGAGGCGGTCCATGCCATTCCGGCGGTGGCCACCCAGTGCTGGAAGGAGCGAGTGCTTCAAGGTCCCCCTGCGCCGATGGAGCGAACCGGGTCCGGATGGAAATGCACCGAGGAACCCCCTGTCAAAAGTAGATACGAGCATCCACATGCACCGAGACAGTGGAAAGGGTCCCCACTTGAACTGCACAAACTTATTCTTGACCACTTCTAGCTGAGACATCTTCGACTGGCAGTGCATCTGCAAGCTCCCCGTTCTCTCAGGCTGTCCGACGTGTGCTTCGGTACCCAGGGTGGTTGGTCATGGAAGCCTTCACTCACCACGTCTGAGACAGGTGGATCCCTGGGCTTCCTCTCTGCTGGTAAGCCATTGTCCACAGCTAGGCCAATGGTCTAGAAAAGTGTTTGCAGTCGTCGATTACGACATGTCAATGTATATACATATAATAGAGTTCGGATGCCTGATGCATGTCGGTCTCTTGTTTTTGAAGCGGAAAGGTCCTTCATGTATTTCGTGCTCTGCTTGAGTACGACATAGCATGACTATACCTAAACCGTCCTAAATCTATCTAGATCATCTAGCTTAAAATATAACGAAAATCTATATATATATATATGTCATATGTCTATCAGAGGAATTTTCAGGAGAAACTTCCGTGCTATGAACATTTGGACATGTAAAGGACAAAAGGGTATGTTTGTGTTGCTCTGTAACTGAGGCGTGTTGCTGGTGAGTGCTGGATTTGGTGACACAATCACGCTTGGTGTCGTGCAGCCAGTTGTGATGTAGGAGACGCTCGTTGATCGGTTTCGCCCGGGGCTTCTATAATCACAGCAGTTGCCCTGGCTTGGTGAACCGATGGTCTTTGTATACGCCCCCCCTTCAACCACTTTGCCTCAAGGAACTGATGGTCTTTGCCGACCCACACCGATTTCATCCAATCCCCATAGCTACCACGCGTCCATAACGGGCTCAGAGACGAAAGCAGCATGGGGGTCGTCAAAAGGACAACGCACAACCGAAAGCAGGCATGAACGCGCCGTCTTTGGGGTTGAACGAGACAGTCGTGTCACTCACTTTTCACGGGTGTGTGTACCTTTGGTGCCCCTTGGCTTAAGACACAAGATATTTATATATGCATTTCCCTAGCACTGTTGAATCCCTGCAGCAATCGCATCAATCGAATCCCATCGATTCGGGTCCCGTCCAATCTGTCGAGGGAACGGCCTGGAGAGTCGATACAAGAAGTTGTTGGGAAAGCTGAGGCCCATCCTAAGACGAGGACAGCGGCTGCACAACGAGGACACCGAATTTCGCTTGGTGGTGTTTTTTGCCGATTCAGGATTGCCAGTGAGGCCAGTGAATGATGGACATTAGGAAGAGCGACTTGAAGGGGTGTCCAAATTGATAGACAGATTCTAATGGCATGACCATTATTTTTGAACAAGACCTTTACTAAACATCATGATGCAATGTTACTGGTAATATAGACCCAGCAAGTGGGTTTAGCGTTTTCTTGAGGGAGCTTCTGCCTTGCCTGCAGCTGCAGCTCCAACACTGCTGTTCCATGTCGCCAGGAGGGTAAGTCCAAGGGCCAACCGTGCGATCATCCGGACCCAAGAACACCCTCACTGAATCCAAGCAAAGGCTGGAACAGACTTGAAGAAACGAACACCCCACCAGGGATGATCTCCAGTGTTACATTGAACGTTTCTCAGTTGTTTGACCCTCACTTGAAATCAACGCCTGGAACCCTGGGTTCATCCGCGCGCACCGAAGGCGCGCCTGGGGCGCTTTTGGGAGGTGCATGTTCGTTTGGGAACGAACATGAGCTGTGTCTGGGAGAGGAGTCATCGTGTTCACATATCTTCTGTGTTTGACTATATGCATTCATTATCGTATCATGTGCATCAATAGGTCCATGAAAGGCAAACAAAACGAATCCTCTCAACAGTCTATGTCATAAACAACCTTTCATGATTGCATCATTTGCATCAGCTGGTTGCAATTGTAAAGTCTTTTTTCACGGTAGCATGCGATAGCTGGTTGCAATTGTATTTCGTACAAAATGCCTTCTGAGAAATGAACAATCTCAAGGGTGTCGAAAAATATGTCCAACACCGCTAACAATCTGTAAAAAGGGTTCAAACATAGTGATTATGAAGAGACATAGCTTAAAGAAAGTGTAAGAGGATTCAACCATAGAGTGTTATAGACACTTCTCTAAATAGTATTCATCCACTTCATGCTGCGTTCATCTCTCAGCATTGTGTCAATCATGCACATTGTATAGTTTGTTGATGTTTATTGTATATATATTCACTCTAATTTTCGACCACCTTAACATTGTACACTTTTCAGGCTGTCCAAATGATATTCATTTGCAAAGCAATGTTGGCCATAATTTGGACCCCCTGAAAAATGTATATACTATTTCAAGGGGGTCGAAAAATATATTCAACGATGCTTGCAGCGAGAGGTGCAAGTAACACATCACTAATTAGACAACTCCAAACTTCTATTACCCCCTCTCTAAGAGCTACTGGTGCAGGCTCTTGTTGTCGCGAAGCGACCTGAATAAACAATAATTAATATCAAGCCAAAACAACCAAAATTGCTTCCAAGCTTCAGTGGGCCCTGGCGACATCCAAGCCCTTCTGCCAGATGCTGCCATACCACCAGCTTCACGAAAAGCAGCATCCGATAGTCCTCCTATAGCCATGGGCGTTGAAGAGACACGGGGCGACTGCTCTTCCCGAGAAGAACGACTGCCCAAGGACCCATGGTTCTTCGACTCAAAATACATTGGTTTGAGTGCTGCTGGAGTTGCTTGAAGCACTCTTGAGTCATAAGCATCACCAAAGGCACTTCAACAGAACTTGGAAATAGTAGAAGATGGTGAATACTCCCACCAGTAGCCACTTGATGCTTGATTTCAATCCACGAAAGCACTACAGTCACTACAGTAGAAAGAAACTCTAGTCCAGTCTCTAGATGTCTCTAGTGAAGCTCTTTGTCAGGCACACACTGAGATCCTTGGAAAGACTCGGAGAAGCTGGCACCAAAAGCATCAGCAGAGCGTAGCACCTGCTACAGCGGTGCAAACAGCGCTGTGGAGAATTATCAAGGCACGCCCAGTAACACCCATGAGAACAACGGTCTAAAGAATGAATGAGCCAATGTCACTAAGACCATCCATAATATGCAGGATGCATGGACACTCTTCCCCACTCAAGGTTTTCGTGTACATTCAATTCTCTTGTCGCAATGATAAACCTTTTGCCACACACCACTCAATGAAGCAAGCAGCCGAAAGAAGCAATCATTGCAATTCATTGCCCAATCATGTGATATCCCTTCGGACCTGTGTGTATATGCTTTGTCTTCCATCCAATATATAATATGGAGACAGTCTGTGGCAGTGGGACGGGTCAAAATCCACCATTGACACCGGCCCGTACGCCGTATACCCGTATTCCTGGTATATGATCTACCTGTCTACTGTCTTTGGAACCACATTTTGTGCCCTGGAACGCCACACTTTGCAGTGAACCTTCACAAATGGAAGAGTCACCAGCAGCAGTTACCCGGAGGATTCATCGTCTTACCCACACATTCATTCTCTTGGAGCGATCCGCGTGACTCGCACCCAGCGTAGCGATCCGCAACTGGGCACGAGTAGTTGGTGAGCAGCATGACGATGTGGAACTTCATGAGGATCGAGGGCCGTGTCATCCCATGTTGAGTGATCCATTTGGCGAAATGGTCCAGTCGATGCCCCACCGACATCGAGGTAAATTTCTCCTCACCGTCGCGTATCAGTCAAAGCAGAGTATCGACCCTTGATCAACCGAAGTGGTGTGCAAGACTGTGTGCAAATCCCTCATCCCATTAAAAAGTGTTAAAGAATCCAATCACCGTCCCAGCGGTGCAGTGACCAAACATCGGCCGATCCCAGTGATCGGCCGTATCAGTTCTCCTTGGGTAGCTCGAAGCAATCAGCATTCCAATCCCCCTGCCGGCCAGCGGTCTCGATCGCCACGCCAGCCATGATCGATGTCGATCGCCAGTTGGATGAAGAGTTCGGTGAGTTCGGTGCACAAGGTGTTGGTTCTTCCCCTCCTTTGGGTTCATAAGTACTTTTGCAGGTCTAGATTATACAAAGCGTATCATAAGCACTGTCATGTCATCTGTCCGTTTGCAAGGCAAAATGTTCTCCATTCACAAAACTTATAGAGGTGACCAATCTAATTTGAGACCTTTGCCACCCAGTGAGGCGAAAACATTCTAAGACACGGAGTGGGGCAGCAAATGGTCTTCCACAGGGGTAGTGTCAACTCCGTGCTCTTCTTTGCTATGGGGAGTTTCACAGCAGCGGTTTGAGAATTTCACATACTCTATATAACCATATCAACTATGTGTCAGCTGTGAAATCAATCACTCCATGTCTGCCGTTCCTTCTCCGGACCGCTGCCTAAGGGTGGGCCCAAACGGCTGCGTTCAAACAACACACTTAGACCACGGGTTCTGTGTCTGGTTCCTTTCTGTGGTTCACCACTGTCCATTGGGAATTGATTTCACCTCTCAGGCGTTGAGATATACCTACAATGGTCAGCATGGCGTGTCAGTTCAGCGAATTCCGGACACACGGATTGATCCACAAGACGGATCGTATGTGTATGAAACCCGTGGTCTAGCGTCCTTGTTCCTAGTAGCGAACCTTGTTCCTAGTAGTAAGGCCAGGAGCCCCGTTCGTAGCATCCGATCGCTCCTAGTAGCGATGCCAGGAGCCCCGTTCGTAGCGAACCTTGTTCCTGGTGCTGCTTCAGATTCCCAAAACATGTGTTGTCTTTTTCCCAAAACCCTTCCTCAGCATTGCATTTCTCCCCTCCTTCTTGGCTCAGTTTGTGTTGTGCAAGTGTTCCGGGAAGGGTATTGACATGCATTGTGTACTCAAACATGCTCAAGCATCTCAAGCCATATGGTCCATTTCCGTTGGCCGCCAACAGTTCTGTCTCACCCTCTCGGCCAACGGTTGTGTACACCAAATTGCAAATGATGTTTTTCCTGTTTCCTGGCTGAACCCAGGTCAACATCAATGTTTGAACCATATGGTCCAAGAAATCTGCAGACGGTTCCTGGCAAACTTAGGGCTACGCCATCAAAAGCAGGCCCTTGTCCATGTAGGCCTTGATTCGGCCTACTCGCACCTGCTGGCCGTGTCGGTCGGTCGTTCCGTGCCGCGCCAGTCATGCAACGCATGTGCCACGCATGTGCCACGCATGTGCCAGCTTCTACAAGGTGACCAAATGCGACAAAACACGACAAAACATCTGCCATGACTGGCCACGGCATCGAACTGCTCTTGTTTCATCCAACCCGTGCACCATCCAGTCATGCACTCATCTTTCCAAACATCTACATGCCCCAACACATGCCCGAAACACCGCCAAACCTCCTACCCCCCCCACTCGGCTCCACCCCACGGTTTGGGTGCGATCTCTCCGGTCAGCCTCGTCGGAGGCGATCTGTGCCGCGATTTCTCCACTGCCAAAGCTCATGATCATCGAGGCCGGCCCCTTTTGGCCCTGCCGCATGCGGTTTCGGGGGGGTTTGGATTGTGCGTGAGGGAGTGCGTGCTAGGGTTTCAGAAGCTCTGGCGATGGAGAGAAGAAGAAGAGTCTTTGGGTGTAGAGAAGCAACATGTTGGATTGACTGCGGGAGGGGGCAAACCCCGGCTTGAGTCCGAAGAAACGTGTTCACATGTGACATGTGCACGCGTTGTCCTTTATAAAGACCTACAACATCGTGACATGAGTGGGCACATGACAGGCTTTTCGCGAAAGCGCCCAAGTGCCTTTTGCAGGCAACTCTCAGTTCACTCGTCACGCTTTTGTTTCCAGACTCATGACCTGTCTACAAAGGCCTTTGCCGGCGGAATTGTGCTTCCGCTGCACGTATGTATAAAGAACGAGGAAACCAAATGGTAAAGGCCAGGGCACTTGTGTACCCAAACAGCAGAGAGCGCTCTGAATGCGTCGTCTGACATATACAAAGTCCAAAAGCACATCTAAGAACCAACGAACAAAAAGAGTCCTTTTTCGACGACACTGTAATTGGGGAAAAGCACTTGAAGCGAGTGTGGCAAATGACCGCAGATCACCGGCTGGGCTCCGCGGGAGCATTTTTCTCGGGGCTTCCTCCATTGAGCCTGCTACTGCTAAAGAACTACACGCGTGGAACCGTGGTTGGCCTTCGATTGTCGGGGGTTGCCCCGCAGACCGTTCAGCTGGAAACCAGCAGGATCAAGCATTACCAATGAAGGCTATTGCCATGTTACTACATGTTATTATCCCCCAGCCCATCCCTCTCCACCCCAGCAAAATACAGTACGTGGCAGGCCGTGAAGGAACATGCACTTTTGTCTACAGGGCCACTGGGGACCCTGTCGATGATATGCCGGGCAATCCCCCTTTCAAACATGTTTAAACCAACGCCAGTTTGTTTGCTCGCCAGTTTGTTGTTTGTCGCCACTTTTTGAGGACTTGTCCTGTTCTACTTTGTGATTTCAAGCCCTGCCCTCGGTTCGCCAACTGATGACCCATGACCCAATGTGACTCATACATACCGACCTCGCCATAGATAGCTTGTTCATGGATGTTCCGTTCCAGGTCGGCCGATTATTGGTGAATCATCAACTCTTAAAGGTAGAAGTCTCCAGTGAACGAAAGAGGTCACACAAGCACAAAGAGTTTGTATATGCTTTAAATTGATGACACCTTAATAGTAAATCAACAGTAATATAGACTATACTATACTAATACTCCTTTCACGGGTCACATCAGGTCACCCAGCAACTACGACGCAGTACAATCCTGGTGAACACTGAACCAAAATGACAAAAACCAAACACTCCAGTAAAACATGAAACAGTTGTGCTTGCCAAAGCCGTCCAAATCATCCCCAATCTGACGACTCGTGGCCTGCAAGTGCCCTGTGGAGGCGTTCGACTTGAACGTGGGAAGCACGAAGGAGCGCGAATGGTCTGGGCCTTGCATGGGGCCAGGGCAAAACGACCGGCAGCAGCGGAGTGGAAGAGAACGTGGCATAACAAGAACTGCCCCCCTGAGGGTTCATGTACTTTGTGAGGATGTGGCTCCAAAGAATCATTCTCTGAAAGGCACGATCCGATCAGAAAGTCTCTGGAACCTTCTGGTGAGTTCTAGGAGCTGTTTCAGGCCAACCAGTTCAATCCCGTCTCGAGCGTATCGGTCACAGAAGGTATCGGTCCTTTAGACCTGAACATGCCAAAGAAACACCAGGTCTGTCCAGGTCTGTCCAGGGTGGCCAGGGAGGCCAACGTGACCAACGCCCGTGATAAGCCGTTTTCGTTTGATTTCGCCGCCCGCAGCATCTGATGTCCAGGTGCTGCGGGCTGGCTGCGATAGCAACCAAGCCCAAAAGAGTTTGTTGGGTCACCGTGATCGGATGCCCAGTCTGTGCGACTGACCTCGAACAAGATCTGCCCCATCATCGTACACTCAGAGAACAACACGAAGCAACCACTTCAGACTGCAGGGCGCCCACTGAACAAATCCATACCCTGGATGCCCTGGGCGCCTGTAAAGCATTTACCCCACTCAGCAGGGCAGTGCTGGCACTGGCAATCCTTCACGATGCAGCTATTACTGCCTGGCCATCATTTGTTGATTGCACAAGCTCAGAACAAACAATTTTTCCACACTCAAATAAACAACTTTGCAAAAACGCGCGTGGGATCTTTTTGAATCAAGAACATCTATATAAATATATAACGTGTGTTTGTTCCATCCAGTCCACTCGAGCGGACAATTCGACTCCGTCGGCGGAATGGGGTGCTTGGGCAGTGCGAGGCCGGCCCTTCTCCATGAATCTCTTCAACAAACTCCTGATAAGCAGGGATTTGGACACTCAAAACCTTCACCGTTTGAGCATCCATGATTCTGACTGTAGTATGAGTATGAGCAATAATTGAATTGTCCATTTTACAGTGTATACAGTGTATACATGATTATACATGTACATACTCTTACAAATATAACATGCATATGAAAGCGGCTGAAATCACAGGAATCAGCCCCGGCAAACCGCAACAGAAAAGAAGTAAAACTTTGGAAGACTGGACCAAATCGGCCATCCCAACCAGTAACCATCACTTCTATACAAGTATATCGCAAAACTATCGCACAAAAGAACGTACATCCCCTCCTGAAGAGCAATTGAAACCGTGAAACGATCGACGAACGGGGACATGTTTTTTCTGTTGTATATTTGTTCGAAAGTGAGAGCTCAACAGTAGTCCTCCAACTTCTTCCATCCCAACCACCTGGCCCAACCGCCTGTGTCGGCCACCAGGCTAAACATCTGTGGTGGGCTGCCAATGGCAACCTACAGCTGAGGTCAACTCTGCGGGCATCTGTCACCACCCAGACCTTGTGGCTAAAGGGATTTGAGTCTCTCGATTTATCCCGGATTTCCCGGGTTCATGTCCTAGTATCATGTCAGGCATACCCAGGGCCTGGCTCGGGGGTCTCACGCTTTCTGTTTGCATTATACATATATATGTAATTTAATTATAGAATATACATATATATGTATATATATATATGTAATATTGTCACATCAGATTATATCAGACAGCCTGGACACTGTAAAGCTTTCACGCGTTTCACCAGGACATGTAGGCCAGATTGAGATGCGATGAGATGCGAGAGGTTTCGATGCAAGCTCAGAGCAAAACATGACAGTCGAAACTATCGAAACGTGATTCTCACTGACAGTCATCGTCACCGTCATCGCCTGACCTGGTCCTTTGATGTCCCTCACTGCTAGCAGTGGACAAAGCAAATGGCTAGCATCGGGAGCAGCAAGCTCCGATCATTCTCCAAGTGGTGGGGTCTCGGAGAATCTGTCGATTTCAGACCTAACATCACAACGAAACCACCCAAGGGCCAAGACCTGTGGATGTTCTAGCTGATTCACCCTGAGACCCATGGAGAATTGATTAGAATTGAGACACCAAAACTCCCAAGCCAAGAGTTCTTCAAAGTTCAAGAAGGCTCCCAGCTCCCAATTTCTCCCATGCGTTCTGCTTCGGCGCCTTCACACCCCCCTATTTCACACCCTCCATAAGACCCGCCAGAGACCGGAGCCGGTCTAACCGTGGGCGGAGGGCGGATGAGCGGCGCCTTCACTGCGGAGTAAGTTTCATGATTCTCCAGCTTGGCACAGCTGGTCTCCTGGAAACGAGACAGGTTGGTCGGGCGGAGGGAGCAAGGTGAACATCGGAATTCCAGGGGAGATCAAGATGGAAATCAAGTCACAAGGCAACAAAGAAAGACAAGAAATCGTCCAAGACAACAAAGAACATGAAGCAGAAACATCAATTGGTTTGAATTCATTGGCTTGAAACCGTCTCTAGTCTGGACAGACGAAACCGCCAGCATCCACACACTCCCAATAAAATCGCATCTCCTGATTGCTTAACCTCACATTGATGCCGAAGACGAGGAGGGGCTGGAAGAATGCCAGAGACAATGTGGCACATCTCATGCCTGGCACCACACCAGAAGTGGCTGACCGGAGCAGAAGGGACCGCCGAAGACTCCATCCGAGTTGAAGGGTCCAACGAAACGTGTGGTTCGCTTCGATCCCCTGGTTCTTGTGGTTCACTGGTTGCTTGCAAATGGACATGTGCCTGTTGTAATCAAGTCAAACCCTGCCGGAGGATCGTGACACCTTTTGCGGGATGTGACAGCAAGTGGCTTGTGCCGGCTGCATTTGTTGGTTTCAGCTCGGGTGTCCTGAAAGCCGGTAGAGTGACATTTTGGTTTCATGTTCTTTTCCAAGCACTAGCCCGAACAGTTGATATGGTGTTATTGTTTGATGCAGGATCTTCCAGTGCGAGTCGAGTGTATCTTCCATTTGGTCAGCGGCCGCCCAGTGGCTGCTGCCGCTCCTCCACCGCTTCACCGCCCGCCTATCATGGTTCGTAATCGGGTCTTCGGCAACTCAAAGAGAGCCTCGGGGTGCAAATGTGCATATAGAAACAGACCTTTACAAGGTGAATGTAAAATTATGCATAGGTGAACGCAAAGAAAAACATCCGCTCTTATACATGGAAGCCGGGGACTAGAAAAGGCCTAAATACATGGCATGGCACTGCAAAGCTATATGTCTGGCTGCTATGTTAGGGAAAGTGTCCATCACTAACATGGAAGCCGTACTGTGTGTGTGTTGGCTTTCCTGTAGCTATCAGTTTGATATCCTTCAGCTTGATATATGACTGTAGTGCTAAAATACTCTACAGTGCAGTACAGTAGGTCATTTGGCTCGGGGCGACTGCACATCCTTCATGCAGCTTTGAACCCGACATCCAGGCCAACGACAGCTAACATGGAACCAAAGCAATTGAGACATATACACATCTCTTCCCAGGACAGACCTGCGACCCTGCCGAAATTGGATGACCGCTAGGTTAGTGTTTTTCAAGAAAACGCTCATTGTACCACTAACATGGCACTGCAGATGCTGCTGAAGTCAAGCAGCAGTGGTTTCTAAGTTAGTGTATTTTCTTTAGTTGGGGCTCTGCTAACATATTTCAATGTCTTTTTCGTCTCTCTGCTTCTACGTATGTCTGCAGAAGAGTAACTTGTGTGTCCAAAACGAGTGGTTGATGGAAGCTCATGAAAAAGTCAAATTTCAAAGTATGTTCAATTTATGATGTATCTTTATCTGTTCGGCAATGGGTGTGTTTGGTTTGAAGTACGAGTAATAAATTCCAACTTCTGTGAGTGTGATAATGAAACCCTGCCATCGGATGTGTAGGACAAGCTTCATTGTAATGCCCACTGAGATCTGAGATCTGTTTGCAATTTCAACTTGACATGTTAGAATGAAAGCCACATAATGTCTCTGCTCTCCTGTGGAAATCAGTCTGTGACAAGGAACAAACTAGCTCCGCTTGAGGTTGATTGCTGAGAATGAAAGTCCAGTCAGTCATGTTCGTGGGATCTATTCCTAGAGTCAACATGATGACTGGACTAGCCTAGCTTTAAAGCTGAAGGAATGAATTGAATGGAGAGCACACTTAAATAGCATTTCCTTGGCTGATCTTCCCATGAGTTGCACTTCTCAAAGGCCTGGCTAGTATATATGCTACGTATGACCTTTGCAGCACCTGCTCAAACTGACCTATCCTTCTTCTTTCACTGCCCTCACTTTGAATGATATCAGTTGATCATATCACTTTCCTGAACGCACCACGTCGCATCCGTTTACGCACGCACCCTCCGACCCGTGTCTCGGACCCACCCGTCGCCGTCGCCGTCGCCGACCGGACCGCGGACCGGACCGCGCCCGTCTTCCTCGTCCCAGGCGCCACCGGTCCGGTTGGGTCGTGAATATCTTGAGCCCCGGGCGCCGCGGCGCGGGGGGGGCGTCTCACTTGGTCGGCCCGGGCGGCCAACGTGAACCGGGTGTGTTCTTCGGCTTCCGGGACCGGTGTGTTCTCCGGACCACAAAAAAAGCCACCCAAAAGCGTGGTGGGGGGAGGGGTCCTGAAAAGGAATTGTTGTAAGTTGCAAGGTAACAAGAACGCAAACACCTCCCCATCTTCGTCCAGAACATGAAAAACGCAAACATGTTGCAAGGTATGTTCATTCAGGTTTGTCAAGAACATGGTCCAACATCTTGGGCTGCCCTCTCTTTCGCCAAAAACAGAGTCAAAAAACCGTGGCAAACGAGGAGAAACAACCGTCGTCCACCCACGCAAGTTCCCCCTCTGGGGTTCTCATTGCCTCACCTATATAACTCGCCTTTTGTAAACCCCGAAGCAGCCCATGAACAAGTTCCTCACCAAAGGACTTGGGTCAGGGCCAGCTAAGGGTACATTAAATTATACAGCCCAAACAACAAAACACCTATAGTTGATCAAGTGGCATCCTACAAATGTCTTTGTTTACCTGGCGTTTTTTCTTGTGTGCCTAGGGGGGTCTCATGTTCATCACCATCGTGTCGAGTCTAATCTGCAGCTGCCGCATGTCGTGTCTCCTGATCAGGATCAACGTGAGGTGAGGCATGGTCAAAATATGTCAATCCAGCACCCGGACATGAAATTGGGGCGTTCCTCAAAATCGAACATGTCCATCCCACACGAAACACCAAATAGATTGTGCAAATTTAGGCCCAACTCACCTGGCCTTAGACATTGATCATATTTATATTATATAAATACACCGATACTATTGCCATTATATGCCATTATTAATGACCTGTTGAATCAAAATGTTTAGATGCCCCAAAACTGCACCTACTGCTTCCAACCCATGGAAATCTTCGATTCCCAACGGTGCCGGGAACTTCAGCTCCGCCTCTGAAGCTTCAACGCATGGCCGGGCAGAAGGCCCAATTCCTTGAGAAAAAGTGCGGCCGAGCGGTGGGCAGAATCATTCTGTACGGTCTAAAACGAAACATGGGTGGCAAAGTGGTCAATCAGGACTTTTTCTTTGAACTGGTTGTACCATTTACCAACATATATGTTGTACGGCAAGATGGAGGAATTCCACAGACACCGAAGTGTGTCCAGGATGCCTGTTCTGTCAGGATCTGCACTTCATCCGCTTGGACTTCGCGACATCGGACGGTTTCTCGGTGGCACCGTTAGCAGAATCGATGCGACAGACATATGGACGGAGCATATTGTGGACCTGTTCTGCAGTTCTTCTTGGGCGCGCGTTTTCCGCGAGGTCCTCCAATGTCAAGAGAGGATCATCTGGATGAAGCGAGGATCAAAGTGATTTGAGTGTGTCTGAAGCGTGAGGCCCCAAAAAAATTCTTCAAGCCGACCAAGCATTAAGCCACGCGGGCTTTGAAACCGGGTGGAGCAGGATATATGTTTTGTATTGAAATAGGGAGGCCATGGGATGCCCTTCAGTTGGATCACTGGATTGGTCCTATAGAGTTCGTCCAAGCATCGATTCTTCCGTTCCATGTTCCTTTTTTGCGGGATGAATTCAACAAATGATAGATGTACAAATTGATTCAAAAGTTCAGGGATGCTCAGTCGGAGGCTCTAAAAAAGAAACAAACGCAAACACATAAAGACCACCGGTCATCGGAAATTGCAATCAAATTGGCGCAACTTGGCTAGTGCAAGAAATGCATAGAAATGCACCGAATCAGACCCCGCCCTCAATCGCCCTCCTCCGCCCCTCGTCACAGGCCGGGTCATCCAGGCCCCGTCCCAGGTCGTGTCCCATCGAAGCCCAGGTCGTGAGACTCTTCGCCTTGAAGTGTTGATCCTCCATGCTGCACATCGTCTCCACGTCGTGGTACCCTGCGGCCTGATGAAACACCCAGCTATTCGGTACGTCAGAGTTCTAATGGCCTCCAACCTACTATCGATGGCCTCCAACCTAGAAGCGATGGCCTCCAACCTAAAACATCTGCAGCATGTTCGGTGTTTTGGGATGCAAAGTCGGCCCTCCAACTGCTGAGACCCTGGCCGACTGGATAGTGAAGTACAAGTCATCCAAAACCCAAAGACACCAGGCCTGAAACTGCTTGGCATACTGCATCAAGCCACATTCCTCCAGGAAGCTTGTCACCGGTCCAGCTGCAGCCCCCTGGTGTCATGGCCGAACTCTGGCCGCAGTCGTGGATGCAAATGGCTTAGGGCATGGGGCTCACTTAGGGCTTCTGGAGACGGAAACTGAACACTAAATGACGGGTGGAGGCCGAACTCGGCCTTCGCTATTAGGTTCCTATAGGTCATTTAAAAAGGAATTCAAACAAAAGGATGAAAAAACACCTCCTACAACCCAGTGAAACGCCGCGGTCGCTCGACGAGTCGAACGACCGCTCTGTCCGCTCGCTCGCCTCGCTCCCCACGGGTGGCACCTCGGTGTAGCAAAGCGGGGTGAAAGCACCGGCCGGGCCGAGGTTTTCGCCGAGAACTCATCGTCTCACCGTCTCATTGATTGTCTATATATATATATATAGCATCTAAGACCTATATCTAGCTTGGTCTCGGCCTTCAAAAGCCTCGGCTTTTTCATACTTTCTGTTGAATGTGAATGTTTCATTGATTGCCTATGCATATTCTCTGGGGGGGTAAATCCCATGGCCCATTACCAGGCCCCAGTATGGCCCAGTGGATGATGATGCTTCAGTTGCAGGCCGACTTCTCTAGAGCGATAATTGTTTTTACCCGATGTATTCATTTTGTGTTTCTGTTGTTCACCTTCCCTCTAACAATCCTGGAAGTGGATGGCATGGCCGCTGCGAAGACTATTTTCCTCTACAAACTGGGGGTTGTCCACTTCCATGATTGTTGCAAAGAGGGTATCCTATTGTATCCTATTCTTATGTGGTCTACGATTCTCCATGACAAGTTTGAGGGATGATCACAATTCAGTTAAATTTTAGGTGTGTTCCTCAGTTCAGTGCACATGTCCAAAGAAAAGAACATGAGGTTTCGAGACCACACCCACTTGCGGACAAAAAAAATATCCCGCACCTCCTTAGCCCTTCTACATCGGTGGGGTACGTACTTGGTCTGCTATGTACCCCAAAACAGGCCTATGACACCCTGTTTTCTTCGGCCAAAAGGACTCCATGGATCGTTCCACCACGCTGGGTCCCGGTGGGTCGCACGGTCCGACTGAACTCCGTCCGATTTGGGGTCGCCGCCCAAACGAGCTGGGTAAGACATGGAGTCTATCCAACACACAAGGGTAGCAGGTATGTTAGAGTCATTCGATATGTTCATCTACTGCACTTCTTATCGCTTCTTCAACAAAAACTCTGCAGACTACACTGCAGGTTTTTGAGCGCCCTGAAATCCTGAAAGGCCCAAAAGTCATAGTCCTACTTTTGCCCTGGAACCGGTTGGAGGAATCGTCCCATGATTCATCCTGCTTTTCGCTGGGATGCGGAGTCATCGTCCCTTCAACCGGCGGAGTCCATGTCCGCTCAACTCACTGACCATCCAAACATGTCCTCATTCGTGCCCCCAGGAAGAAGTGAAGAAGTCTGTGATTCCGTGCTTTGCAGGCGAGTGGGTAACTCCTTCACCATGTGTTTCATGCCCAAATGCCCCCATCCCACAAGAAGACATAGCGAGATATAATATCAGTCAGTTTGCATCCTATAGCATCCTATACAGTAAGTTGCGCTTTAAACATCTTGAAATCAAACTCTGTTCAAGTAGGAGCAGGCTGGGAGTATCAGGAAATCCTAGAGATCCAGAATTCAGGCGTTCCCGCGTTCCCACTTGCAATCTTCTTAATTGAGCGGTCAAGCATTGCAATCTGGAATGATCAAACTAAGTCGCAAACGAGATTCGAAAAAAATTAAAAAAAGCGCATAGGTCCAGAAATTGCGACCGATTTCATGTGGTGCACACATGGGAGACCGATGAAGGCCCGGTGGATAACATGCCTGAGAAATGCCCTGCCAGGCAGCAGAACCGTGAACGAACCTCTTGCCCCACCAAAGTAGGCTGACAAACCCAAACGGATGCCTGCCTATAGGCCAAGGCTCACAAACAGACCCAGCGATCCAGGCTCCACAGGTCAACCCGGCTCAGCCAAGCACGCACAAAGTATATATGAGGGATGGTATTTACTGGAAGAAGTTGTTCTTGCACAACATATCAACCCCATCTCTGGCTGTCTTGCGTAGGTTCTGAACAACAATGACACAGTTAAGGATGAGGCGCTTTCTGGATCAACGCGAGAAAAGGAAGGTAAAGGCTACACCTGAAGTGATTGCACTTGGAGGAATCCCGTGGTTTAGCATTCGACGCAATTCTTTTCAGGCTCGACATGCTATCTTGCTGCAAGGCTGTGGCTGAGGCTGAGGCTCACCAGAGTGTCAAACGCCACCGGTCGTGCAATCTGTGCAACTCGCCATCTGCCGCCATTGGGATCATGTCCGAACGGTCGTCCACTCCAGGTCTTCGGCGTCTTCCGCGGAATCCCTGGGATTCTGGAAGCGGTCTGTGGATGTCTGCACTCACGGACGGTCGGGGCCTAGGAATCGAACTCCAAATCATCTGAGCTCAGTGAACTTCGAGCAGCTGCAGCATGTTGCAGCTTGTCCCTGGCTCCCCGCATCTGCTTTTTTGCGCTTCGTCTTTTTCATAAGCAAGTCCGGTGAATGCGACCATTGACCCAGCGACCAGTCAAGAAACAAACGTCCAACTCAGCTGCAGCTGCAGTTTGGCTGCTGTGTTTGCTGGGAAGGTCTTGCGGTGACCATCCCATCAAAGGCGTGGTGCCCGAGGTTGACTGAGCTGGGTATGGTCAAGTCCTTTAGAGCAGTGCAACCGCTAAAGGCATGGATCCCGATGTATGTCACGGAGTGGGGAATGCTCAAGGACTCGAGTGAGCAGCAGCCGCTGAAAGCGCCATATTTGATCTCCGTCACTGAAGGGGGGATGCTCAAATTGACCAGAGAGCTGCAACCGAAAAAGGACGAGTTCCAAATACAAGTCACCGAGTTGGGGATGCTCAAGTTTGCCAGCGAACGACAACCACTAAATGCCTCCATGCCAATATCGATCACCGAGCTTGGAATCTCCAAGCTGGTGAGTGAGTGGCAGCCTTCGAAGGCAGAGTTCCCAATTGAAAGCACAGAGTCTGGGATTCTCAAAACTCTCAAAGAGTTGCAGCCGCGGAACGTCTTGTCGTGTATATTCCGCACGGAGTCTGGGATGGTCAAGCTCACTAAGGAATGGCAGCCTTCAAAGGAGGCTTTCCCAAGCTTTGCCACTGAGTTGGGAATGGTCAAGCTCACCTAGAAATTCTCTCATCCGGACAACTTCTAAAATGCAATTTAGCTAACGTTAAAGCCGCACAAAAAATGCACTAAGAGGTTCGGTTTGGATGTTCAGAAATCCCCAAGTCACTAAGGAGCTGCATGCGAAGAATGAAAACTCCCCGATAGACGTGACGGAGTTGGGGATAGTGACATGAGCTAGAGAGCTGCAACCACTGAAGGCACGGATTCCAATGAGAGTCACGGAGTCAGGGATGATCACGCTTGCTACCAATGTGCAGTCTTGGAATGCTCCGTAGTTGATCTTTGTCGCACTGCTTGGGATGTGTACAATTGCAAGGTCCATCAAGTCGTAGCCAGAGTCTTTTTTGCTCGAGCACTCAATGGTATGGATGGTGAAAAGCACCTGCACTTCAGTGTCAGGAGAAAGCCCGGCCTGCGTCACCGTTTGACCATCATCACACAGTTTGGTCCCATCAACAACCAAGTCAACCCTGGAGACACTGCGTGTGAACTCATCTTCGCAAGCTTGGATGGCTTTCAGCTGCTGCTTCAGTTGCCGAATTGTTGTGTCTGGCATGACTTCAACAGTTGCAGCCGCTCCACCTGACACATGAGATCTCGTTGACATATGAATGTTGATCTCGTGTCGCATGTCTTCATGTTTGTACATGACCCGCTGCTCTCTGTTTAACAGTCGTACAAATTGTATGTGGACAGGTCTGTAGGTTTGCATCCAGAGTCTGCATGTGTGCGCAACTCTACATCCTGTCCTGGCAAATACACACAAACTTTGCTGTTTTCACAAGCCGCAGCTAGTTTCGAAAGCACACCAGAAAAACATCATCTGACACAGAAGCAGAATGAGAGTGAGAGGGAGGGAAGAGAAATCAACCAATCCTTATCAGGCATGTGTCCCAAGTCTGCGACGTGGTCCCCGATGTCCAGCTCGGAGGGACGGACGATCCATACCGGTGACCGCACCGGTGTTTCGCCGGTGGGAGCCGGGAAAGAAATAGAGGATGCCATTTATATATCTGAGTAACCGATACTCATTTGGGATTATATGCTTATATACTCATTATATACTCATTTGGGAGTATCGGATAGTATCGGTATCCCCTCTAATCCACCAGGAAGGAAACACTTGGGCCATTCAATGAATCGAATCAGGATCAGGATTGTCCAAATGTTAGCCTTGAAGCTAAATATACCTGGAAACCCGTATGATCACTTTTTTTTGATCACTATGGCCTCAAGCCGTATTGACCATTTTTTTTGGTGCATATGCCGTATATGGGCACGGACATCTCTCTGGGGGACTCTATGTTGTATGAATGGGAACTGTATACGAATATGGCCGTATACTTGCCATATTTGCATGCATATTTGGGGGTACCCGTATGATACTAGTATTTTTTCAATATGTTATTGAAAAAACACCGTAACCATATTCCAACATACTAGTGCGAATACTGCGTTGGAACACCCGAATATGGTACCCTATTGAGCCAAGAGAGGAGACCATATATGCCCGTATTTGGGCAAACCCCGTAATGACCAAAAAAATGGTCAAATGCCGTATGACCAAAAAAAATTAAACATACTGTTTCTCAGGTAATAACAGTCAATCGCAGTGTACATCCCCCACCCTACCAACCCTATG